CTGGCAGCGACATCGCCCCTGGAAGAGTCTTTGTTATGATTGTTTGCACTATTTATATATCCAGGAGATACCAACGTTAAATAAATATACCTTCCATCATATTTCTAGTGTCATCGCAACCCTGAACCATAAGAAAATTTTATTTCCAACAGGAAAACTATAAGTTAGGGTATTGTACTGACTCGAATTCTTTCTGTTCTCCTTTTGGCTGTAATTTGGTGGATTTACATTTTGATCCACCAATCACGGATCATCAAGGATGCCCTGGACTTTCATGCAGCTATATATGACACCAGGATGAAGCCTCTGGAGCGCCGTGGCCCCAGGAGGGCCTCTAGGGGGTGCTGTTACCCTGGGAGGACCGCTGGACGCTGCCGCTCTTGACAAGGCCTGGGTGCCCTACATCGCTAGAGAGAAACCCCTAGGTTGCATCCCTCATCGCTTCAGGAGAGCCCTGGGGGAATCTGCTACCGCCCTGGAAGAGACTCCTGGGTCATAACGCCCCTAAGGAGGTTCCATGGGAGCACCCACACTTCTGGGATGACCTCTGACCCCTGGCTTTGCTAAAGGCCCCTGGGGCCCTGAGACCTTTAGCCCTGGTAATGCCATGGGGCCCTGGAAATGTTAATCACTGGGGGCCTGGCAGGGCCCCAGGGGGCATCCCGGTAGTCCCATGGAAGCATGGTAAGCCCTCTTGTACTCCTCTATGGCCCCCTGGTAATCCCATGGGGCCCCTTTAATTAAAATATTCCAGTCGTCATCACAACCAATAATTACCCCGCAATCGAATTGTGGACTATAAATTCGGAATCAGCATGTTCAAGAGCACTGGAGCCTGTATTTGGGGTGCACTTTAGTCTATTTTCTCTTTTAGGTCCACATACACATGCAACTTAAAGGAAATCTTGCACTCAGGATGGAAGTGAGAAAGGAAACTCAAAATTGTCTTAACCCAACGTATATTGTATATACAATGCTGTAGGTTGGTGGAGAGTTGTGTGGTTGAGGAGCTTCAAGAGAGTTGGTGTTGTCAGGTGGAGAAGGCGGAGTAGAATGACCTTTACGGCGAGGCAGGGGGGTATTTATCCAATCCTCCCTACTCAAGGATGCAGGCCGTGGTGTGAGCGGCGCTGCTGATTGGCTGATGGTGAGGACAGCTGCCAGTGAGGGAGGGTGGCTCGAGTAGGCCAAGCACCTGTAGGGAAAGTTAACCAATACAATACTCCCCCTCCCCTCCGGGCGCTGCAGGATGCTTGTTGTAAGCATAATGGCATCCCACGTGCGAGGCATGGCAGGAAGGGGTGCGAACCACTCGGCCGCTGAGTGACAACTCCGTCGAATGGCTCATAATCTGTGGGAGAATCAGCAGGAAAAGCATTGGGAGTGGGAGGGTTGTACATATGAGAAGGGTGAGCGGTGGGAGGAATAAGCGAGGAACGTGATGCTTCTCTCGCGGCAGATGCGAAGTCCTCGGGGGCGCTGGGTGGGATGTCTGGGTCTACAGGGCCAGGTGCAGGATCATCAGGAGCAGGACCAAGAGCAGTGGGTACCTGAGGATGAAAAGACGGCACCAAGAAATGTTGTGGACGAGGTGGTGCTGCAAGTAGCAACGGTGGGCAGACTGGTGAAGGAGGCGCAGGCGTGGTTTGCTGGGGGTAATGCTGGGCTGGGGCACCATCGGGTAAGGTGTAATTAAAATCTTCCAAGCATCATTACGACCACTAATTACCCCGCAATCGAATCATGGACCTATGATTCAGAGTCAGTTGTCTTTCACATTACTAGATTTTATAAGTATTCAAATCAACTAGTATCATCAGCAAGATTCTATTTGAGGGATAAGATTCATATACTTGGTACTATATACTGTAAATGTTGTAAAAGTTGACCCAAAGTGATAATATTGAATTTCAAGCTGAATGTGAAGTTCATTCGTACTTCACACCAATAAATAATGGGTGTACTGAATAAGACCATCATTATAAATACAGTACAGAAGTTCATTGCTTCTCTATAAGGTTGAACAGACCAAAATACAGTTACAACAGCCCACTTCAGGTCAGCTTTCATTTCAGAGACAAGCTCATACTTATAAGCCCTAAGTATTGTAAGTTATCAACTTTACTTTTTTTTCACCCATGAGCCAAAGTTGAGTGAGCCTGTTCAAAAATATCCCCTACAATGAGTAAAGCCGTTACATCACAATTAAAATAAATATATTTGTAACCTGTACATGACAGCTACGGTTGCACAGTAATAAAATTAACAAGAAGTCAATAATATTTTTCTATACAAAATATACCACAAGTATCTATCATGAGCAAGGATCCAACTACACTATTATTACTAACATGATCTATTCTTTCTTGGTCCTGATTTCTCTTTTAAATCCTCCCTCTCCAAAAAAAGGCATATTATACATACCAATGGCTTTAAGTGTGACAGGTGGCACCCACATGGGGGCTAACTGATGCTCAGTAACCTGATAAAAAAAAGCCAAGACAAATTTTCAGAAATAAGTGTCAACACTCACAGATAGTATACAGTACAGTACTATGAAATATAAACTAAATTATTTTCTTTTCAACTGATGTCGAGTAGAATGACTTCGTCTTAAATGATCAACAAATCAACAATATAAGCAAAGTTTATGCTGCTTTGTTAGGTTTCGTGTTCTTATAACTCTGACTTGTATAGTTTACTAAACCTCATGAAGAACAATGATGGTAAATCAATAAAAGAATTATGTAAAGATAATCCATTATTTGTCAAACAAATGTATTATTTTTTTTATGTAAAACAAAACTCCATGTCTCATCTACACATTTGTTTCCCACTCAAGCTGCTACATCACTCGTGAAATGAACGTCCACCTTTATGACGTCCTCAAACTGCACAGTACTGTACTACACTTCCGTTGGCCCAAGTCTGCTACACAGTTCCACCATTTCAGACACTGCAACCCAAAAAAATAAATATATAGACACGAGAAAACTGCTATCATAAAATCTTTCTACAACGAGATAACTTAAACTATAATTAAACAAATTCTAAAGTAAAAATACATCTTGCCACAACAACAGGCAAATTCATGTGAAGCCGGAGATAAATGATGATAAAAGGTTAAACTAAAATCAAAATGACTGAAAACAAAACATTATTAATACATAGTTGAATAATATATATACATAGATAGAAGGTTACACGAGTATAGATGGATACTCAACTGGGAAGCAACTCAAGCTGACCATGGATAGTACAGCTATTATTACCACAAAGCAAGAACAAATATTAACGTCAAGAGAGTTGTTGGTCATTTATCCAACAAACACGAGTCTGCCATCGTTTGGCTTACACGATGAATGTAATAGATAGATAGATAGATAGATAGATAGATAGATAGATATAGTTACTGTGAAAAACCTCTTGTACGAAAAGAGATTTACATTGAGTCAGTACGGACCAGTAAAAGTGAGTCCGAATAAACTGAAACTCAAGGATACGTAAAGTTTGGATTGTGCAATAAGTTAAGTTATTGGAAAATATCACTTTGAAAGATTATCTACATTATTGCTGTCTGGTGGGGAGTTGATGTATGCGTCCGTGAAATTGTTTTGCTATGAGTGGATGTTATTTTCTCGTACGGTAATTCCCATAATATAACAACTATTAGCTCGATCTTAGCTTATTTGTATCGCCTGAATATTACCTCCACCCAGCTTATTTCAACTTAACGGCTACGCTACGGTACGACACGTATAATATTTCATTCAGATACTCCACGTAGAGTTGAGGGGTTTAGTAATCAGGTGAAATAGGCTAGGGGGGGCTAACCTTCAGGTGATCCGATGATTTCTATAACAGCGACAAATCAACAACTCGAATGACTCCAGCCGTCTTCACCTGTCATGCTGTACTAATTACAATAAAATATCCTTCTTAAATCACACTAAACTTAAACTAGATTTCATTACCAGTATGTAAACTAAATAGTTATTAATTTTAGAGTATTTCATAACCATCTATTCTAGTAATCTGAAAGGAATACGATGTTTTATATACAAAGTACAGTAATGTGTGACTCGGCTACTCGAGCAGAGCAAACTGTCGTAATGATTGACTATGGTCGCTACTGTGTCGTAAACCAACTAAATTTTCATTGTTCTTATGGCTATCACATCTTTGTTGACATGTACAGATTTATCACTAAGATTAAAGTTTTATATAGAAATAATATTAATGTAATGATTTAGGTTGTACCATAATTCGTTACAATACACACCCAGGCCAATTACAGGCTTCTACTGTTAACAAATGCATAATACTACCCGCCTTATTATTATTAATATTAGTAGTAGTAGTAGTAGCTGGTCTATACTGTACTGTATATACAAGATATTAGGCATTATTTAGGTAAACCCCCGACAATACCCTCCCTTCCTACGCCAACAATACCCTCCCTTCCTACGGCAACAATACCCTCCCTTCCTACGACAACAATACCCTCCCTTCCTACGACAACAATACCCTCCCTTCCTACGGCAACAATACCCTCCCTTCCTACGGCAACAATACCCTCCCTTCCTACGGCAACAATACCCTCCCTTCCTACGGCAACAATACCCTCCCTTCCTACGGCAACAATACCCTCCCCTTCCTACGGCAACAATACCCTCCCTTCCTACGGCAACAATACCCTCCCTTCCTACGGCAACAATACTACGGCACAAAATACCCTCCCTTCCTACGGCAACAATATACCCCTTCCTACGGCAACAATACCCTCCCTTCCTACGCCACCAATACCCTCCCTTCCTACGCCACCAATACCCTCCCTTCCTACGCCACAATACCCTCCCTTCCTACGCCACAATACCCTCCCTTCCTACGCAATACCCTCCCTTCCTACGGCAACAATACCCTCCCTTCCTACGGCAACAATACCCTCCCTTCCTACGGCAACAATACCCTCCCTTCCTACGCAACAATATACCCTCCCTTCCTACGGCAACTCCCTTCCTACGGTAACATAACAATACCTCCCTTCCTACGGCTACATCTCCCTTCCTACGGCAACAATACCTCCCTTCCTACGGCAACAATACCCTCCCTTCCTACGCCAACAATACCCTCCCTACTTACGCCAACAATACCCTCCCTTCCTACGGCAACAATACCCTCCCTTCCTACGCCAACAATACCTTCCCTTTATCGATGTTTTTTTTCTTCATAATTTACGAACATAAATTTCACACACACACACACACACCTCACCACTGTCCCCGAGGCGACAGTGAAGCCTTACATGCATGGTACAGTACTCGTGAACACCCACACCTGGACGGAACATCAGCTCCAAAACTGCGAGGACATAAATGCAAATTGCTGCCGTCATCTTCAAAAACTTCTACCCTCTTTATCTCGATAATATCCTACCCCCCGTTTTTTGTGCGCTAATGATCTCTCTTTCTCCTTCTCCCCGTCGCCCTCTACCTCCTTTTATCCATAGCCCGTAATTCTCGCCAACAAAACCCGTAGCTGCCCACATTTACGTCTAATAAATCATCCGCCATAAATTCACCTGCTTCACTCCCGCCATGGTTCGTCTTGACGTATACACACACAATTTACACAAATAATAAGTCTTGTAAGGTAGGGGTGGAGGCGAGAGTGGAGAGCACCGAGTCAGTCACCTGTACACTGAGCTGCTGGAAACAAACTAAATTGTCGGGTGAGTTTTTTTTTATCGAAGTTAATAACGTTCAGTCGATCCAGACCGAAACAGTTCGAACCAACCGAATCATAAAGTTTGAACCAGCGACCCAAGGGAGGAGGGACGGAGAAGCCAGGCTCTTGCTGACACAAATATGTGTTATTTAAATAAGTTGGTTTACCATTATGTATTAATTCTTAACTGAGAGGATGTGTCGTGTATCGTCGAGGTTAGCAACATACTAGAACTATGCAATTAGTTAGCCATTTTATTATATGTTGTATAAGCACAAATATGTATTGATAACTTCTTCTGTGTTAATATTTACGTTAAAGTCAGTGGGTATATTTGTTATGTCGCCCAAAAACATGGCAACAAATAGTATACTTTAAACGGTAAAGTTTGTACAAGTTTAGAAACAAAATGATTGAGATCTGCACGTTTCCGAAATGCTGAAAATTATGATAAAATTGTTAAGTCTACAAAAATTATGTTGTGAAATTTGAATTTGTATGGTGTATAATGAAATATCAATATATCATGCATAAGACTCAGGATAATATAATATCACAATCTTTTATTATACATGAGGAGAAGAATACAGCATCACGAAGCCATATTGACGCTTCCGGACTCAGCCTGTCAACACCCAGCAAGACGCTGGAAGAAAAAGTTGCTAATTAGATTTCACCACGATGAACATTCCAGTTATTATTATCATTAAACCTAGTGCTTAACCATAATTAATTAAGGTTGAGCAAGACAAGTAGGTACAAAAATTTTATTTATTAAACGAAGAACTATAAGTCCTTCGTGTAACGGAACTACTCCAAGGTGGACGGTAATTACCGAATCTTCTAAATGATTGTTAACTTCTTGTCTCTCACAACTGCATACTACATAATGGCAAGAATTATGATAACTTCCTTATTTACACTTGCTGCTGGACGAGATGTGTTCTGCTATAATACGTCACCTTACACAAAAAATCATGCATATACAAACCATCACCACCAACCAGCAACATGTCTTTGCCCGAAAATCACTACACCATGTTATCAACTACACATAAACCACTGCTTCCTACTGCTTCCTAGATGTTCCTTCCTTACCTCAGTTCTAGTGCATCTTCTAGCCAATCCTTCTATCACCTTCCCTCCTACTACACTTTTTATCGGTCTTTCATTTTCCATTCTCTCTTTATTCCACCTGAGCATCTATGTAATGCTTAAAGCCACATTTCTTCACTTTGTGTGTGTGTTACAAGGAAGTGCTATTTTTTTTACACATTTCCTTGTCATGCTACCATTCTGGGTGTATGATATCTAGTAGTACCATTTTAAGTGTATGGTATCTACCGGGTGTAGAACTCAGGAATCAAGCCATGCGATTACTGACGCCAGGATACATTTCACCGTAGGGTTTCTTGAGCCCACGAGGAAAACGCGAACTTTTATTCTCGAACCAACTTCTCTTAACAGGAAACTAGAGTCTAGTAAATGATGTGGCCTTAACCACAACTATAGCTCCTCCTTACCAGACGCTAACACCCTCTCAAGGTGTGTAGTGTGTATGTGTGTGTGTGTGTGGTGATGTATGTAGGGTAGGACAGTGTGTGAATATGTGAGGTGGGGTGTAGGTAGGACAGGCATGTGGTAGTGATTACAGCGGCGTCGTCAGGGTCCTGTTCCTTGTTAATACCTGTAGCACTGACCTTGGAGCGTCCTTAGGTAAGGCTCCCATCGATTCTTTGTCTACAATCTTGATATTTATCTCTAGTCCCAGTAACAACCCCCTACCCCCTCTATCTCTATAACGGGCGAAGTCGATGTGTAATGCGGCCATTCGTTGGGTTTGGGTTAAATTCGATTGGATTAGGCTAAATTTAGTTAAGATTTAATGTTTGTTTTTTCTTTCGCAATAGAATCGATGGCAGGAATGCAGTGGAGGAAGAACCGGGAGAGGTCGCTACTGGTTCTAATGACTGGAGGGTATGTCTACCTCCTCCTGTGAGTACCTATCTAAAGAGTTCTCATAATTTTTAACTGCTTATTTATCAGTGTTATTACTAACCTTATTACGCACTTAATGATCCTAGTTAATGAAACGCGGTGATTATATTCTAACGCTCAAAGACTAGCCTACCCACCTCCAGGATCAACAACAACTAGCTTAAGATTTCCTGCCCGAGGCCAAGTGTTCACATCAAGTACCACATTACTTTTTGTTAACATATGTAAATGAGCTAAAAAAAAAAAGCTAAACGAATCCTAACACCCTGATGATGGAGGGTTCTTTGGCTGATGATTGTCAGTGCACCGACATCATGTAGTGTTTACCCTCAGTTTGTGAATGCTGATATTTTATATTTGGTTTTAGTAAAAATTGAGATAAACCAATAAAACGTTATTGCACTCTGCCTGTTGCATTATGTGAACAAAATTCATACTTTTAAAGTTAACTATGGTCCAAACCTGTGACATGACGAAATGTGCTGTCGCATGGGGAGAATGTCATTTAAATGCACTTGTTATATACTTAAACAATAGGCTGTATCATATTGATGCACTGAACTAGGATAGCCAACAAATCCACCTAGCAAACAAAGTTTGCAGTAAAGAAGTGCAAAGAGCAGACACAGGCTCGTAAATATACATAAGCAGAAGAGCCACTGTTGATCATTATGAACAGAATGTAGTTCTCTTAAATCAAAAGTGATGTCTTTACCGTCTCAGCGCACTACCCAGCGGCGTCCAGTGGATGAGCGGAGGCGTCGTGAGGCAAAGTTCACCCGTTGCAGAGCCTGGATGTAGCAGCCAGGGCAAGCATTTCAAGTTACTCATCCGCGCTGCACACCCCAGAATAAAGAGACACCCAGGTACGTTCCGAACAGTGGCTGCGTTATTTATAATATATATATATATATATATATATATATATATATATATATATATATATATATATATATATATATATATATATATATATATATATATATATATATATATATATATATATATATATATATTAATTAACAAATTAATTAATTAACTGCCTTCACTTGGAAAACTAATCTCTCCCACTACTTTCACTGCATCACTCGGAAGATTATTTGTCCTTGCTCTTACAGTGAGGCTTCTCTTAACAATAGCTTACACTGCCTTGGACGAATTAATAGGCAGATTATCTCTACATTCAGCTGGAAAGGTTTCACTTATGAACGGGCTCCTAAGGCGGTATTTATATCTTCTCAGGGGACAATTTACATGTGAACTTGACGGGGCCTTCCTGGCGGCCGTGGGGAGACGACCACCCGGGTAGTCCCTGCGTCAACTATGAAACCAGGTTAGTCAAGGTCAGTCTAGTGGTGACTGACCTCTAATTATCAGAGGGTAATTTTCACCTTGTTTGTGTTGGGAAATTATTTTAGTTAATAACCCTAATAAGTGTTTTACAAATAAATAAATATATATGTGTGTGTGTGGTTCAACAGGCTCGGCAGTAAGCTGACGAGGGTGCTGCTCATGTCGTACCCGTGTTCAGGCAACAGCTGGCTTCGCTACCTGTTGGAGGGTGCAACAGGCTTCTTCACCGGGTCGTTATACAAGGAAAAGCCGCTCTACGAAGGCGGTGAGTGAAGCTACAGTTTATTTTCTCTCTTTAACTCACTTTCTCTCTCCCTAACACATACACATCCACTCTCTCTGTCTCTCCTTTTCTCTCTCTCCATTTCACAAATCATTATTCCTCCATTCTTAACTTTAATACCTGCTACCAAGAACTGTATCGTTATTACTTTTCCATCCACCCATATCTATTCTAAACCAAACCTGGCTCACCTTGCTACTCTTTATATCTATGGCCTACCCACGTATTCCCGAAGATTAGGAGGCCAATTCAGGAGTTCAGCATTAGGGTGATACCATTTTTTAAGCCTATGTATACATGCAGAAGCTGTTAGCTGTGTACTGGTATCTATTACCCTAAAAATATGTGTCAAGTTATGCAGGCCTAAAAATCAGTGTCAAGCCATGTAGGCCTAAAAATTTGTGTCAAGTCATGTAGGGCTAAAATCCTTCTGTCTCCATGCAGGGCTCCTGGGGGAGATGGAAGAGGTGTGGAGCGAGCGGACGCTGGTACAGAAGACCCACGGAGTTATGTTCCACTCTCTGGAGCGAAACGACTTGTCCGAACGCTACAACCACATCAATTCTAGTCTGCCCTCAATCCTGCTCCTTCGAAACCCAGTCAGGTCTGTCCCTATTTCCCTATTTTAAATTTTTGGATCACCTTATGATTAGGTAGCAACCATAGCTTGTTTCACCTGATGATTGAACACTCCAGCTTATTTCACCTGATGATTAAACCTACTAATGCTACTTGGGGGGGGGGTGTTATGTTAGGTTAAGTACAATTAAGCTAGTGTTAAAATGAGCTTGGATGTCTAATCCTCAGATGAAATAAGATGGGGTGCCTAATCATCAGGTGAAATAAGCAGAGATCCCTAATCTTTAGATGAAATAAGTTGGGGTCCCTAAACTTCAGGTGATATAAACTGCAGGGCCTAATCAAGTGAAATAAGCAAGGGGTGGATTAGCTTCATGTGAACCCACAACACTAACACAAAACACCACACAGGGCGATAGTCAGCTCGTGGTTCCTCCTACTGCAGTCAGGCAGCAACAGACACAAGGCCCAGGTCGACCCCAGTACCTTCAACACCAACTGTAAGTCTGAAATGTTTTTCTCTGGTCTATGTTGCAACATATACATCATGTGACAAGGATAAAGGACTCGAGTAAAGATTAGGTTAGGTTAACGTTAGGGTATCCAATCATCAGGTGAAATATGTCTGGGTATTTAATCTTCACTTGATCTAAATAAAGAATGATCTGTAGTAATATGACTCAACCTTGTAAGATGACAAAGGAGATGTTATAATACAATTCACAACATATTTACGAGCGTGTCTCAGTGTTTTCAAAAACTCCAATACAATACTGTATTAGGTATGACAGGTCCTCCTGAAGCTCCTAATTGTCACATATCAAAGAAAATAAAGAGTTGGTATGACTAATGTTAAGTGTAAACACAACTTGTTCCATCCGTCAGTATTCAGGTTCTACGTTGACCAGGCAGTGTCCCTGTGGGAGGAGATGGCGACCGACAGGCTGTTGTGGAGCTCCAAGCCAGTGTATGTACTCCACTATGAGCACCTCCTCCAAAACACCACCCATCAACTCCGACGCCTTCTCCACTTTCTGAGGTAATGATATATCAACATCGTCCTAACCAGTGAACCAAAACCTCCTGCACCACAGTAATAACCAGTGTACCACTCTCCTGCACCACAGTAATAACACACTTCCCCTCAGTGTACCTGTGGACGAGGGGCGGCTGGCATGTGTCTCCTCCCACCTCACTGGACCCTTCAAACGCAGAGGTAACAAGACGTTGGACCCCTTCACTCGAGAGGAGAAACAAAGACTATCCAAAGCTGTCCAAAGAGTCAACCGGCTACTACTGGTGCTGGGCTACCCTCGACCTCCTGTCTATGAGGAGCTACCCTAGCCCCTATACTTGCTGCAACTACTGATAACAATTAATGTTTATTTGCTTGCTGATATCTTCATGTTATGTTATGTTATTTTTCTATTGAATTTGTTAATAAAGTTAAATAGTAATCTGTTTTTTATGCCCTGCACAGTAAATTACCAGACACCTGTTAACCACCTTAATTGTTTTCTCTATTTGAAGTTATAATTAATTATTTTCAATATGGTTTTACGTAAATAAGGTACTAAAAAGGGGTTTAATCAGTAATCTGAATACAAGGGTAAAAGTAGCAGCATTGTGGGTCACATTTAAAACTAACCTTGGCATTCCTAAAGATCTTAGACATGCTATATGGGTAAAAGCCTAGTGATGAAGAACACAAATACTGTATACAAATCAATCTAACAGGTGGGTTTGTCATCATTCCTAGGGTCAATAATAACAACAAAAATAATAATAATAATCATATAAATAATAATATAAATCATTTGTGGGTGTGGGAGTAAAGCACCAACCCATGAGGAAGATACGGAAGCCCCCCCTCTCCCTCTCACTCAACCACCTCAAGATTTCCGGATACACACTGCACTACGTGAGAATTTCATCGAACACTGGACTAATCTCAAATTTCAGGGAAGCCATGTCCTATGCCATTACGACACAGATGCTGGAAATGCCAACCGCTATTATAAAGAGTATACAGATGTTGGGTAGGGAGTATGGTATGAAGGTCAAGGGAGGTGGTATGGTGAAGATAAGAGTGAGCAGATGATGGTAGTCCTGAAAGTTATCACACCCACACCACTTGCGCCTTCCCCCCACCACCATATCAAGGTAAAGTATCAATTTCTGTATGATTTATAAAACATATGGTTACTAGTAACCTTTGACACTTTCAGCATTGGTAAGATATTTCCTAGACGAATGTCGTATTATTCAAGAGGCGGTAAAACCTTATTGCCTCATTTCCTGTGAATAATTCAAGAGGTGAGAGGACGTTCAGGTGTCGGTCTCACAATAAATAATTCCAACAGGAAATACAGTACAGTACCCTGAACTACCAAGCCTCAGTGCAGGCTTCTACCAGACCCACGTACATTACACTACCTGGCTACCAAACATCCCAGCACACCAGGTTATGTAAGGACAAGAACAGAGCTGAACGAAGACAGACAAGGAATATTTATCAACCACATACATGTAGCAGGTGTTGAGGAAATACCCGCTACATGATTACTATAATCAGCCAGGTTTCAATGTCAAAAGAAGGGAAAAATGATGAGTAAAAAAAAGTCACAAAATTCCTGATGCAACAAAAAATTTTGATATCTAAAAGTATTTGAGGTGTGTGGAGACAGACGGGGGGAAGAGGAATGATAATGGATGGTTCTGTTCGTGGGAAGATGCTCAGGTGGTGGCGAGGGAAGCATCATCTGACAGGGGTTTACTTCTCAGGCTGGTACCCTGGTGTCTTAACACACACACACTGTACACACATACATCACTCTGACTAGTACGTGTGTGGCAAAAGAGCGACAGTCAGCTAGATTGTGATTAGTAGCAGCATGTGTTATGTGTAAAAGGAATTATTTACCGGTCAGACATTCTTTCCCTTTGTACAATATTTTGGTTCTGTTATGAATACAGTACAGTAAATACATATCACACAAAAGTAAACTTATTAACATCTTGGGCATTCCCCAGGGAACGAAAATACTGAAGTTTTAAAAAAATTCTTACTCAAGAACCTTTCAGCAGTGAGCTGTCTTGGTATAACGAGAAGATTGTGGTGCTCTTTATCACTCCATGTTTAAAGACAATTAAAAATATGTTGCTGGTTGTATAGTTCACTTAAATGGACAACAACTGAATTTCTTTGTTACAAATTCATTCATAAGCTTCTGCTCACTGCAAATTACCCAAAAATGTTATGCATGATGTATCTATATTAAGTTCCTTTCTCAAGAGTCTTCTGCTCAGACCTACTTCGGAAGACAAGGGCTATGCCAGTAAAAATTCCTCTGTCATTTGTTGCCTTGTCCTACTAATGATGAGGGAGTGTTGATGCCGTAAATAGTTAAAACAGTTTTGGTAAAAATAAAATCATTATTCTTAAGCACAATGTACGTTTTTATGAAAAGGGGGCATCTTGATAGATGGTGTGTGCGATAGTCAGGGCCAAGCATGAATTGAATGATATACAGTAATAGTTCCTCTCCTAATATCTTCCTTGCAGAATCCCTAACCATCTAATTCATTTGAGCTACTTAGCAATACAGATGGCAGCACCCAATTCTTGCTTACAATTTTGAACCTCCAAAGGAGGTTGACATCTCTGTATTTGTACATGACTCACCTTATTACTGAAAGTTAAATGCTGACTACACCAACATTCTTCATAATGATTTTCTGGTGGGCAGTTTTTTAGGCTGAACTCATATAAAACTTCTCTTATCCTCAATTTTGTGTTCACAATCACAACACAGCGTGTCAACAAAGCAAACAAGGTTTAAAAAATATCACGAATGCTAAGATATTTTAGGTCATCTCTCTGATATGGGAATTTGTTACTTTTAATGCTGTTATTTGTAGCACTTAGGGTGAAAAAGCGAGCTGGTTATTGATATCATTTACTGTATTTAGCTTTCATATACAGTATTGTATTTTCTTCAGTTCCTCAGTTTGAAGTTAGTTAATTTGTTTTGAGACTGTACAGTATAAACAAGGGGAAACAAGAATTGTTCATTTTTTTTAAATTGCATTTCAAATATCATTCCTCATGTGTGTAAAAACACTATTAGTCAGATTAGGAAAGAGAGGAAGTAATATGTAATATGTTTTACTTAGGCCAAACAGGTAAAGATCTTGTAGCTAGACTTAAACAACATAAATATAGTGTTAAGACAGGCCAGGAATCCAATGCTCTGTTTGTTCATTTGAGGGATAATCAGCATTGCACTGACTGGGATAATGCCTCCTCAATATTACCTTGTAATTCAATTGACAGTAGGAACATTATAGAATCTAGTCTCATTAAACATACCGAATCCGACAACATGAATTTGAGTAACGGTATGTACAAACTGGATAATTTCGTAATTAAGATGATTTGTAACCAGGTGAGAAGGTTGGGTCAGCTTACCCTCTGACCTGACTACCGACTGCTGCGGTGCTTTTTGAAGATTAGTAGGGTCATTACCTAATACCTGACCATTGTGGACTTGATCTCACCCTCCTCTGTATATATATATACCTTGTTTTGTACTTCTCCTTAGTCTGTACTCACCCCTGAAGATGTGAATTACACGAAAGCGCTTGGGAACTTCGTGTTCTCTTCTTTCCTTGTGGTTATCAGCATATACAGAGTACTTGGATCACGCGCACCTACAGTGATTTACTTGCATACTGTATATATATACAAGTTCACGGTTCTTTTCTCATGCAGAAAATTTTGGTTAGATTTTGTAGGTCACAAGCATTGACAGTTCTTGGGTGTTCGATATTTAAAATAAATTTATCAATTCCCTACAATTAAAAAAATGTAGTGTGGAAAATTTGTATTTGATAAATATAATATGACTACTTTTGAAGAAATAGTGCTATTTCTTTGATTTATGAGATTGTTTTTAGAACTATAACCGTTGTAGATATTTATAACGATTATAACTCCGACACCATCTTACTGTTAAATACTGTATAAAAATTATTCTATGAACACTAATACCTGTACTGTACTTTGTTTGGGAGATATTAGTGAAAATTCCTCTATGCATTACAACACTAACATTTTCCAAGACCAGCTGAATTTCTGTACAGTCTTTTGTATGTAAATAATTATACTGTATGAAGTCATAATTTATTTAAATAACAAAATTATCAAACAAATTAAGGTTCCTTACTTAGATCAAAGACATCATTACCTCCCGGAGTTCGAGGGTTGGAGAATTCGGTGGTTCAGTATCACTTGTCAATTCATGGTTCATGTGAGTTTCTTTTTATAGTTAAATTTGTTCATGCAAAAAATAAAATTAAGCCGCTGTGTGAACCCGGGATATTCTGGGTTTGTTAAACCAAATGTAATCCTAGATGATGATTTTATTATATGAATATTATTATGTTACTGTTATCATTGTTATCATCATTATCTACACTGTTGTCAAAATCTTACATTCCATTATATGTAACTAGTGTTTGTTTATTTATGTAACTATAAGTGTTTGTCATATTAAATTATGTTAGTAATAAAACGGAAAATATATACAATACAGTACTGTATATTTTTCAATTAATGTACTGTAGTCGATTTAAATACATGTCACAAAATCAATAATCTTATTGACGAAAAGATTTATTGAAGGTTGATAACATTGTTCATGACATAAATATGCTCTTAATATTTCTTCAGAGGGTTTCCATTTATTTCTCAATGACAGATATGAAGAAAAGTCAAAAGTTGATTTTCCACTTAGATATGAAAAGCGGTACAGTCTCCCCTTACAGCTGGTAGACAACTTGTGTCTTCCTCCCCTTTAGGTGAACCATGAGGGAAAGATGGAGGTCCTCTTATATAGCTGAGGGAAGGATGGCATCACCTTGCTTTCCCTGAATAGAAGGTTAGGTGTGGAGATGTAGAGATTTAGAGGTCGAAGTGCCCCCATGCGCCATTCTCCTGCCTGCCATCAACCTGTATCTTAGGGGGCGTGGCCACATTGTTGGACCAGCAACCCTTCTTAATCGAGTAGATTGAGTACTCTGGAATATGTAGCGCCGTCACCTGCGGCAATATCATCAAATGTCAAAATTTCCACAAAAATGAACACTATGTATATTATATATTTGTTTATAAATCAATCTCTCTCTCTCTCTCTCACTGCTCACACCCAAGAATCTTTCTTCCTTCCCTTTCTACAACTTACACACTGTTGCCACAGTACCTTACATGAACATATGCACTACACATTTCTTTTATACACAACTATTACAGGACTCCATACATGCCTACAAAAACACTGACAGACTCACATCAGGGTAAATGCCGAAGTCAAGTACGGACCCATCGGCACCTGTGTCGTGGTCGGTGTCTGGATAGATACACAGGCTGATTCCAACCCAGTTCTCGCCGCTGAAAGCACAAAGAAGATAATTACAGGAATGTGTATGTATTGTGAGTGTGTGTGTGTGTGTGAGTGTGTGAGAGGAAGCAAACCTATCTCTGGTGCTGAGAAAAGCACGACTTAAGTGTCGTAGGTTCACCACACAACCTTGTCTTTTACAGCATAGATTTGTAATTTTCAAAATGTTATAGAATGAGTCCAAAGTCAAGACATCTCACTGTTTGGTTTTCTTAGATGATGATATGTGAGAAACACTAAGAAGATTGTCATTTACAGCATATCTTGATGTGTTGTCAGCTCAAACCACTGATGGAATTTACAAATAAGCAAGGTAGGTTTATTGAAATCTTAAGACCATTGTTTGTGAGTGACCACTGATCAAGGAAACACACATGCAGTTCCTGAATCTTTTCTCTAACCTGGAACAAAATGACAACAAAATGAGTCTTAATGTACCCTTTTCTTCAACGAATATTCTGTCTTTAGACTGACTAATGTTTGTTATTTCTTAGCAGGAATAGTAATATATAATTTCTTATGTTAACTGATGACAAGTTTCAAATGATAACTGAAAGTCGTGGTTACAATTGTGAGTTAGCTGTCACCTACCAGTAGACAGTCCAGGGGCTGGTGCCGGTGAGGACAATGGAGAAAGTCTTGCCTGCCAAATTACCTAAAGTGGCACTGTCTTCGTTGCCATAGTACTCTTGACCGGTGAACGATTTCCCCTCATACAACGTCCATGTGTCCTCGTTCATGTGGAAAGGACTGCCCGCGAACCTCACCGATGAGCTCTGACGGAGGGTGTGGGTTAAGTAAGATGTGGTCACCCCTATAGTGATCACTGACAATTAATCATTCTACAATAAAGTCACACTCCACCTAATTACCATTAAGTTATATCAACCATAACCTAACTTAAACAAAATTTAACCTTAACTTAACATAAATTTAACTTAACCAAACAGAGTTTTAAATTTATAAGTAACTCAAATGTTGGTGAGATTTTGCCAAGTAGATTAATGTCTGGTGTGATTTTCTCTGCAGCAGTGGCTTGTTTGTGTCTCTCTCCCCGCTGCTGAGCTAACCACTTCCTCTCTTACACCCCTAGAAGTATTCTTTCACGTCTCCATTCCCAGCTAATTCCATCATCTCTGAGTGTGGTGACAATATATTAAGGTTGGGTGTTAGAAGTGTCCCAGTACTGTTGGAAAGGAGTTGGTCAAGCATTGAGGTGTTTGACTGCTGAAATGTGTTGGAGGAAGTGATAGGGGCAGGAGAAAGATGATATAATTAAATAACTGGTAAAAATGTCCTGTAGGTGCATCCTTTGTTTAAAAGTTCATGGAAATCTCTATTAAAACGTTTTCTTTATCATTCTGACTCACCATGTCAACATAATCGGCGGGGAAGTTAACGGAGATATCGATTCCGTGGACAAAATAAACCTTGCCCGCATCAATGTTGTAGTTGATGTTATCGTAATATATCCACCTGAGGGGATAAGGATGTGTTAGCATACATGTCTCTCATTATGAGTTGCATCTCATGTTAATAAGAGTTGTGTCTCACGTTGTAACAAGAGTTGTCTCACGTAACTATATGTACAGTGAACATGTGTTGCGGCATCCCTACAAAAATATGTCATCATGATCGTGTTGGTAGCGAAGTCATGCCCTCATGAGATTTACCTGTAGCTACTGTGTTCTGTAACTCAGGTATTCTTAGCTCTCTCAGGTCACTCCAAAGTGTGGCCCTGCATCACAGTTTGCCAAACAATCAGATATAAAGGATAAATCTTTATTACAAATTCATATTCTGCGCAGTGAATGCTTGCAGAATTAATCACATTGATAAAAGGTCATAGTATAGCTAACATATTGGATGAATACCTGTATAAGGAAAAACACAAACAAAAGAAGTCATACAGTAGCCTTCATTGGATGTGTGTAAAATAATAAGACATACAAGCTATTGTACAGTATACTTACATCCCAGTTTGTCGGACACTATCAATGACATTGTCAAAATTGGCTACAAGAAGGTCGGGGACATAGTCAGAAATGTCGAGAGAGCTGCCCTGCCCATTTTGCTCGCTGAACACTGTGGTGTAGGAGGGGCCCGCGCTGGCACCTGGGGAGGAGACACACTTAGTACCACTACCCGTGTAGTGAGTTACACTGATATTCCATATTAAAATAGAAATACGTAATTTATTTAGCTAGAACAATACACAAACAGTAAGAAACAACCTTTCAAGTCCTGCAGCTCTCTTGAAGGCACCTGATAAATACAGTACATTTATGCCAAGAACATTGATAAATAACACAAAATACCAAATTAATTATAACACAGAATTCCAATTTTATTTTCCACATTTACAACGAGACACTACCCAGACCACACACAATTCTGACCGGGAAAATCTCTCAGTAGCTAAAAGTAAAGATAATACTATACCAATGTAGTACTCTGAGACAGTCATCCCTCCCCTTCCACCACACCCAAAAAATACAGAAACACCAAAAACATTTCCTCACAACCTGAAAATTACTCTGTATAAACACCGAAGAAAAAAACAAAAAAATTTCGTGATCTGTTATGGACTGTATACATGCATTGTCTATGTGTATGCTAAGCTGTATACCTGAATTGTCTATATACATGCTGAACTGTATCTCTGCATTGTCTTTATAAATGATAAATTGTATACTGTGCCTACCGGTATATACTTGCTGAACCAATTGTAAACTTGTATGATAATTTTAATAAATATCTGTTTACCTAATGTTTATGTATGGATAAAAACAGCAAAATTAAGTGCCTTTCTCTTTACCCTGACAGAGCAACTTAATCCATCATCAGGCAGGAGTATCTCAGGTAAGTTAGGTTAGGTTAATTAGGGGTGATTAATCTGCTGGTGAAATAAGCTGGGGTGCCTAACTTTCAGGTGAAATAAACTGGGGTGCCTAGTTTTCAGGTGAAATAAGCTGGGGTGCCTAATTTTCAGGTGAAATAAGCTGGGATGTATAATCATTAGGTGATCTTTTGTTTCCAGTTCTGGCAATCAATGAGTGTGGCAACAGGAGTGTTAACCATGTCTTGTTAATTTGCAAGAGTTTCATTAATACCAAAGAATTAGAAACACTTGTTGAGAAGAGATTAACAATACTTAGCAAAATAATCCTTCACTTATAAGAGGAAATAAATGGGTAATGGGAAGAGATTATTACAACAACAATAATAATAACAAGATTTCCAGTTCATACCAGCGACGAGAAGTGTGAGGAGTAGAAGCTTCATGTTATGTGTATGGAGGTAACTGATGGGATAACCAGCCAGCATCCTTCTTATATAACCAGGGTGAAGTGGTGGAGGGCTTGAGTCACTACCAAGAGCTGGGAACAGTGCAGATAACACCACCTGCACTATACACCCACGACTTGACAACAGGATCTCAAATCATTTCTTTTTTTGGGTATTGTTCATCTCATCTGATTCAAGCATTAAATCTTCAATATTCTTGTGGTAAGAGGGAGGGAAGGAAGAGTAGTCAAGTGATGAGCAAGGCACGGTGCCAAAGTCTGCTACGTACTGACTATTGGCACTGTTGGTAGGTGGCGGGATACGGTCACACGGAGGTCAGTGCTCCTTACTACCGTGGAAAAATGAAGGAAAACTTATTAGTAAAATGTTATCACATATAAGTGGGCTGACTCATTGTCCAGGTACCTTCATTAACATACAGATGAGCACTGTTGACTAAGTGCAAATGTATTACAATTAAAAGAAAATAGTGTTTGCTATAAAACCTAAACTGTCCTCACATATGAATACTCAAGAGTAAATCAGTTTGCTGCTGAAAATACAGTATCTACATGTGATACTTTATTGTCCATTTGGTGTGAGAGGATAACTCGTCACATATCAAACAAATTATCAAGATATTTACGACACTCGCACTGAGATACGTCATGTCTATACAGGAAATTCTTGGCGTGTAAGTATTTCAGTGTGTGTTCATCTTAACTGTTTATTGTTGGTGTGAATTGGTAATAGCAGATTGGTAAGAGTGGTGGTAAGAGTGGATGCCAGGGAGTGGTGGCCAGAGGTATTCATGATGGTGGCCAGTTTGTGGCAATGACAGACGAGGACAATGGCTAATTTGGTTTTGAAGGTTATTGGCAGTGGTAGTGACCATAAGTATTGATAATGGTGGTCAGTGGAAGTGGTATTGGACCACCAGTGCTGTTGGGGGTGGGTGTCAACAACACAGGCTGGAGTCACTCTCATGCCTCTTGTTATCATAAAATGTAATGGAAAAAAAATAAATAAATAAATAAATAAATAAAATATATATATATATATATATCTCATGCCTCTTGTTATCATAAAATGTAATGGATAATAAATATATATATATATATAAATATAAAAAATAATATATATATATATATATATATATATATATATATATATATATATATATATATATATATATATATATATATATATATATATATATATATATATATATATATATATATATATATATATACAGTATATATATATATATATTTTTTTTTTTTCATTCGGTCATGGGGCAGCAACATGGCAGCAGAGATATTCAGTACATATTACGTATCTACAGTAAATGTAAATTAAACATGAAGGTTTCAATGTACACAGACCACATGTGGAACTTTTGGAATAACTTCACAACTTGTGCAGTGAATGTAAACCGAAATGATCAGCACCTTTGTACACATGTTAGATACTGTATAAATAAAATCACATTTGTTTACTGACTACCTACAGCATATTAATCAAATATCGATTAAAAAAATCCAAACACAATCATAACAAGTACAGTATACACTAATAGGCATACCTGCCTGTTAGGGACAATAAGGATAGAGTACACTGTGTACTATAACCTTCAGTTTGCAAAGAGGCAGCGTGGCCGGCATTGCACTCGTCTGCCTTTACTTCCCAAACTTAAAATACAGATATCCAGTTGCAATTGGGTAGGCTGGGAGTGCTCCAGGATTGAACCAATGTGGCAGTCAACAATATAGAGTTGAAATTCATGCTCTGTGGTATGAGGATCAAGTGCAGATGACCCTTGTAGTGACTTCAGTATGAATGTTAATATGTATTGAATGAAAAGTACCAAAACCAAGGTTATTTAGTGTGAATAATATGAATACTGTAGATGAAGGACCTTAAATAAAAGTTATTTACGATGAGCATAACCTTAGATTTTGAAACACCTAAACAAAATAATAGCATATGGCTTTGTCAGTAATATAAGCAATAAACAGATGTGTCAAATGTCAGTTTATTCACAATACTGAGAATATTATTAAAGAACTATCATGAATAGGAAAGTAAGTCAATTGATTTCAATTAATTCAACTGAGGATTGATCACAGGAGAGTGGAGGTGGGGATGGCAGGGTATCTATGTAACCTATTGTTAATCAGATCAAGTGTTTGCAAGTAAAATACTATAATAATACTTACTTGCATAAAAATAAGTAAGGGGGAAAGGCAGAACCTGACCTGGGATCATTAGATTGATTTATGTTAGCTGTGTAGAAAATATTTTTACCTCCGTAGTGTCTGACAAGCAGCCTCAATTATTGATCCAACATTGTATGTGCAGCCTTTCTATAAGTTATGAAGTCGTAGCACCCACAAACACTCCTTTGTCTTCTAAATAATGGTCAAACAAGTCAAAAAAATTACTATTGTAAAGAGCAATATCATAACTTATATCAAAGCTACATATCAGAACAATAAAAAACATATTGAGATACATTTTACATGTAATGTTTACACCAAGGGGGTGTATGAGATTCATAGAGGGTTGATAGTTCTGATTATTTACGGACCTATAATTGCAGCTTTTAGTCCATGTTTTCAACTGAACTTATTTACTCAAAACAAAGACAGTGAAGGAATTTGCCATTATGTGGTGGTTTTTGTGCAGTAAAACTAACTCCCACCATGAAACAATAGGTTTAGTGTTGTCACTGTCTTTGTGTGTAGCAATATGGATCATTTTTCTTCGGAGAGTTAATATTAGCATATACATATTTAAAAACACACACAGCATAATGCTTCACAATATACATGTGAGTACTGCATTAATTTTATATAGGCTCGGAAAGAACAAACTAGTGTTGCTATTTCATAACTCACACCACCAAGCGTCATGTAGATTAATCAACAAGAAATCGCTCCATAACGCTAAAATTTTTACCCAATGGTATAACATTCATCACGACAAGCATGATAAACCTGTCAGCATAAAATAATCATAACAGTAAGCAAGCCACGGAACTTAACCCTGAGAGTACAGTACAGTACATGTACTTCACATCCACCTTGTGGAACAGTTCACTACAAATCATCATTAATAATTCATGAAAAGATGAAATGAATCCTCAGTGAAACGAGCAAAGGTGGGATTAATGTATTCATTTTTATTATAGTCATCAAGGAGAGTAATGTAATGCAATAATATATCAAGGGACCTATAAAACAATTTTTTTTTTTTACAAATCAATGATATTAGTGAATACAGTATTTATTTTATGATTTCATCATCAGATTTTATTATCACAGATGATTTTGTGACAAGTAATTAGAGATCTTGTGTGCATGTTATAAAAATATGACCAAATCGGAGTTTTTCTTCAGTACCTTCTCCAATGCCATTTTGCCAACATCAACTGCATGTGTGACAAGATACTTCGATTTCAGAATTCAACATCAACTAACATATCTATGATAGTATGTGGTGGTGGTGGTGGTGGTGGTGGTAAAGATGGTGGAGGTGGATGACAATGGTTGGAGTAGTGGTGGTGGTCATAAAGGCTGGGATGGAGGTGGAGCAGGTCAGTTGGGCGTGATGGGTGGTAGCGGGTGGATGGTGGTAGTGCTGTGTGTGGCTCACACTGCTTCAGGGCTCTCACGTGAGTACCTCATCTTAACCTGTGCCCTCTCTCTCTCTCACATATGTCGTTAATTAGTCAGGTAAAAATAGAAGGCCTAAATAATTCATGAAGTGAACTCTTTAGATCTTAATTGTCTTCATAAACAATGGAAACATCTAAGGCGCACCTTAATGGAGACTGACCTCGTGACATTTGACCACAAGTGCAGAGCATAACTGATGAGAAGATTGATGTAATGACCTTTAACCCCTCAGAAGATAAGGAGACTAAGGTGTTCGGACTACAGACGGGAGTGTATGACCCCGGGTCAACAGAGGTGTTCGTTCGTCACAACTTCAGTGGAGGTCCCTTGCTGTCCCCCCTGGACAATGTCACCATCTGCTACCGCTTCTGGATAACTGCCTACAGGAGGGACATTGTGGCCTTCCTCTCCTACGCCTACTCTAACGAGGTTGATAATGCCTTGCTCTTCTGTGAGTAGCTGAGTCCACCCTCTCTGTGAGTAAATGAGTCCACCCCAACACTGAGTACTTGAGACCCACTTATTTTCCTTTCTCTTTTGTGGCCTCTTAAATCCACCCACTTATTCTTATTCCCATTTTTTAATATTATTAAAACCCACTCACTGCCTTGCTTATCATTGGGCATTTAAGATAATAATGTTTCAAATGTTCTGGAGTAAAAAAAAAAATGCTGACAGAGATCCATCACGTGTCGTGCAGCCAGAGGGTGTGATGATGTGGGGAGTATGAAAACTGACAGATAAACAGACATATAAATGCAGTGTGTCTTGACCAGGTTTGGATCAATTAGTAATTGTAATTGAAACTGATTGTAATTAATTACAATATTTTGAGTAATTGATTTAATATTTGTCATTGAACTTTGAAAATAAAAGACAATTGTAATTTAAATTTATTTTAAACATTAGAAGAGTAATTGTAATTGAAATTGTAATTGACCTTCAATAATGTAATTAGTCCAAGTCTGGATGTGACAGCTTCATCTCCTCCACAGTTCAAAGTGAGGACGATCTCAACTTTTACTACAATGATGAGAAGGAGTCTGCCAGAGTCCACCTTGAGGTAGACGACACCCTGGAAGTATGGCATCTCCACTGCTTCGTGTTCACCCATCCCGCCTTCAGGTTGGTGCTTATCACCCACCAATCTAATCCTACCCACCATACCATACTCCATTCCTTACACCAGTAACCTATCTCTCAATAGTTTTTTAGAGTCTTAACAATCTTTCAACTGTCTGTCAATAATCTCTCAAATTTGTCAATAATCTCTCACAAACTGTCAATTATATCTCCCAAATTTCTCAGTAAGTACTTCAACAACTTCTCAACTATTTGTCAAATATCACAAAAAAAACTGTCAATAGTCTCAACTGTTTCCCCATACTGTAAAACTCTTAACTATCCATCAATTCATCAACTACCTCCTGCAGGGTGTATGTGGACGGGAGGAAATTGATGGAGGGCGTCCTGGAGAGCAAGGCCACCCTCATCCCTCTCAATGGAACGCTCTATCTGGGTCAAGAACAGGACACCTTTGATGGAGGCCTGGATGCTGACCAGAGTCTCAGCGGTTACATCACCCAGGTCTGTGTTCTTACTGACTGAAGAACAGATGATGAATGGGTGAAGAACATGTGTGTTCCCCTGCTGGATGAGGAACATGTGGGAGGGTTGACGTGGCTTGGTGTACTGACTCTAAATGTCTTTGAATCTCTCCTATTATACTCGTATTTTACTATACCAATTCTCATATCTTTACAGGTGAACATTTGGGATTATGAGGTGGACCCCAGCATTATAGAGAGCATCGCTTCCTGTTCAGCCAATCCCCGTGGCAACGTCTTCTCAACAGACACCACCTCTATCCAAGAATCCAATGTGAAGACTGAAACAGTTCATATCAAAACCTTCTGTAAGGCACGGGAGAAGGTTGTCATCATACCACAGAAGACGGTCCCTGCAGATGCCGAGAACTTCTGTAGGCTCACAGATTCCATGTTTTATATTCCTGGAGACGAAGAAGCCAATTCTCAGCTATTCCAAGATGCACAACAGCATTTCACTGACGTCTGTGCTGGCAAGAGTTACCGGTTTCTCTACCTTGGAGCAACAGACGCTGCCGAAGAAGGGAAATGGAGGACAGTTGACGGAAAACTGCTGACGTATACTGCCTGGAGCCCTGGAGAGCCCAACAGTGGGAAAAAGTCGAACTGTTTAGTGTTACGCAAGTACGATGACCAGTGGGGCGATATCGGTTGTACTGACAAATTCTGCTTTTCCTGTAGTAGAACCAACCTGGATTACGTGCAGTTGCGAGGTATGTGCCAGAAACGAGAGCACAATACACGCTTTCTCCTGGATGGATACATGAATGGTCGACCTTTTTTTAGAGGTTATTATGGCATGATAATTTATCACTCGGGTGTGAAGGAGTGGATATTACAAGATACAGTGAGCAATGTCACCCTGGCCACTCTCCCTTTAATGCGTCCCTCGGAATATCCAATTGGCCGACGGACCTGGCATGTCATCACCTCCTTCTGTGACCTCCTGCCAAGAAGCAGTGTGGTGTTGGGTTTGTCAGCGTGCACGACACAAGAGTTCATGTGCACGGATGGATCATGTGTGCACCGCTCTGTGCGTTGCAACCTCCGGGATGATTGCTTGGATGGCAGTGACGAAGAGAACTGTACAATCATCTACTTTAGTGACAGGTACCACAACCACCGCCCGCCACCAGGAGTCATTTTCAATACTCCTCTACAGATTGTACCTGTCGTAGACCTCATCAGATTCTCGAAAATAGACGACATTAACCTCGCTTTCCACATGGAGATTGAAATTTCTCTCTCTTGGACTGACAGAAACCTCAGATTCAAGAATATCAAGACTGAGGAGGGAAAGAACATGTTGAGCGGAGAGGAGGAGGAGAAGATCTGGACGCCTGAGGTTGAGTTTCTGAACGTAAACGACGGCCAGTTGAAGATGCTGAAGAGCGGAGTATATGTGAAGCAGACTGGCACCCCTGACCCGCCCGCCTTCACTGATGTCCAGATGGGTATGTCCTTCTGTGCATATATTCTTCCTCTTCTTTACTGACTTCTACAACGGGCACATTCTTCTTCAACGGCATTCAGATGGGCACGGTCTTACATCTTCACCTCTTCCTCTTCTTCACTAATTCCTGATAAGCACATGACTTATACCTTCCTCTGTTTCCTCTATAATATATGTTCTAATTTCCACCTTTCTCTCCTCTCAGTACAATAAAGCCTCATCTCTCCATCCTCTTAAGGCTGCAAGACAAATCGAGCCCAGCACTAATAGTACCCAGCTTAACTTAACCATAAAACTTACGGCCAGTTTGGATTGAAACCTATCAAGATTCGGGCCAATTGGGACTGGGGGCCCATTAGAGCTAGGGCCCATTTGCCTAGACACCTCCTCTATAAAACTATCACATATCAAAATATTTAGAGCCACACACATCCTAACTACATTAAGTAACTACAGCCAAGGGGTCAAGTCACCACAATCAAGGAATTAGTATCTAATCAACACAAAACAATAACTTACCTTTGTCCTATATCACTTACTGTGATTGGCCATAACTCACAGTGATCAGCCTAACTAGCAGTAACCAGCTTCAATGATCAGCTTCACTGGCCGACAGACACCATCTACCAGGCCAACAGTGGACGTCTGGTGCAACGGCGTCAGTACTACGGCAGCTTCAACTGTCACTTCAGGCTCTTCAAGTACCCGTTCGATACACAGACATGCCTCATCATTGTCAAGCTGGCCTCGGCTGATACCAACGTCCTCGCCCTCAAGGTGACATGTTGCTGGAGGTTAGAGTGACGTGAAGATTAAGGTGACATGATGATGGAGGTTAAAGTGACGTTCTTAAACAAATAAATTAATGCATTAGTGCCCTAAATAACAAACAAACCAACTAATTTAACTTACTAACCAACTGACTCTCCCTCCGACAGAATGCATCCGTGGTATACAGTGGCATGGCCCAGCTATCTAAATATACCGTCCAGGACATACACATCTCCCTCAAGACCCACTCCGGCTATGCTGTCCTGGATGTATGTCCAGTTTTAATGGAGTCACACACTGTATTCCTAGATACATAAAACTCATGATTAAGGCACTATATATCACTAAGTCAGGAAAACTGAGTCGTGATCTATTTATATAAAGCAGTACAAACAAGTGTTGAGTCGATGAATATTCAAGTAAAGTACACTGTAGTCCATTACGCACACGCCCACCCACACACACACACACACACAGGATTATATGCCATAGACATACAGGGTCATGTATTAAAAATGGCAATCATGCTCATGGGTCATGTATAGCAAAATGACAATTATGCCAAAGGTTCATGTATGACAGTGACACATCCTGCAGGTGGTGTTCCAGCTGAAGCGGCGGTGGAGCCTGTTAATGCTTACCATCTTCTTGCCTACTTTCCTCCTGCTGGGCATTGGCTATGGCACCTTGTACATCAAACTGGTCGCCTTCCAGGTCAGTTTCTGTGTAACTTAAGTGTGTTATCCCCCTGGCCCTAAGTAAGTGCCCCCTCTGGACCTAAGTAAGTGCCTTCCCTGGACCTAAATGAGTGCCTCCCCACACCTCCAATGGCCTAAGTGAGTGTCTTCTTTGGCATTAGATTAGATAATAGATATACAAAGATATAGATAGATAGAAATATATAGATATATAGAAATAGATACCCGGTACATTCAATAAAACTTTCAGACAAGTTCTCACTGGCTCAGCATATACATAGACAATACAAGTATATAATGGCTGACAGTAAGTATGAGTCACTTCCCTGGCTTTTGGTGATCGGGTCACCTCCCGTGACCTAAAGTGGAGTACAGTATTTTCCCTTGGGCCCTCAGGAATGTGTTGGTCCTGCCTTAAGTTTCCAAGCTGGAAGTGCCTCTAAATTCTTATCATGCAAATATCTTGTATCAATAAATGTTTATCTATAAAAAAAATTACTTTAGTCAACAACAATTACCGGGTACATCTAGGAAATACAATAAGTCCTCGTTTAAATGATACAAGTACACGCGAACTAAATCACACATATTTCTTTAAATCTTATTCCTCTGTGCATTTTGTATCTACTGTGTTATACAGCTCTATGAGCTCCTTTTCTTACTGACTAACCGACTGGGATAAATTCTTCCATACCCCCCAACCCATCCCTGGCACAAGCATCCCTCAGGTTTGTGCTGTCCAACTACTCATGCCTTATGCAACTCATAACCAATTCTTAAGTTACCCTTGTTCATAGCTGTTCACTAATTAATACCTCATGTACAAAAACTGTAATACGGTTGTCCGGGAAGGGAGTTATGTACACGTGTTACAAGTGTGAGCCCTAAAATAGATGTTCAAGGAGGAATTTTAAGAACTAGTAGTGTCGCAGGTGCGAGCCGTGATGACGTTGACGACGCTGCTGGTGCTGTACACACTCTTCAACCAGGTGTCGAGTGACCTCCCAGACACCGCCTACATTAAGATGCTTGACTTGTGGTTCTTCTTCTGCATCTTTGTCATCTTCAGCATCATCATCATCCATGTTACAGTAGAGCACCTGGAGAAGGAGCCCGAAAGACATGGGACGAGAGTGGTGCAGGTGTCACCCCTCCTGGGCAACAAGGCTCCTGACTACTCTACCTTCTTCACTATCAAGTGAGCTGCCACCTTACTAATGCCCTTCAAAGCAATAACTTCCTTAAATGTAATAATTCATATTCTGTACGTAATAACCCTTAAATATGAAAACTTAAATATAATTTCCTTAAATACAATACCGTACCTAAAATGTAATAACTCTTGAATGTGATATATGTAATTAATGTAATGTAATTAACTCCCTTTAACTGTATTATTGATATCACTTGTTATTCAAATGGGCATATTATACTTTATTAACTGGTAGGTCTCTTATGAATGACTGAATTTAACTTAATATCGATACAGTAACCTGGTAAGGAAAAATGCATTATCCTAATCGTAGCTTATCTACACCTGGTCACACCACCACCAGCTGACACTGTCCACCTTCCGCAGGGTACCTGCTGGCAGAGTCATGTACCTCAGTCGCTGCCTCATCTACCCCTTCATCATCGCCTCCTTCTGCATTGTCTTCTGGATTGTCATATTGTTTTTCTCCTAGTTCACCATCACTCTTACTTCTCTTGGTTTCTTAGTTCTCCTGGTGATGTAGTTCACCTGGTCTGGGCATCCTGGTAAAACCCGTTCTGGATTGACATCGTCTCAGGTTCTTTAAAAGTTTGATATTGTAAGCAAAGATGTTATTTATTACAGAAAATATCTTCCGATAACTTGTTTTAACCACTTGAGTATGATGACAATCCCCTGGATATAACTCATTAGCCTGTTGAGTAGAATGACTTAATCCCTTGAATACAATGATTTAATCCCTCGAGTATATTATTTCCTGAACATCTGTATAAGGGCGACTCTACTGCTCAAGTACGTAGTACAGTACATTTCATAAATTGTTAGTTCTCTTGAATGCTAATATTTTACTGAACTAGTCCTTTCACATGTACAGTAGCTAAAAAAAAGTATCTGTGCATACTCTGTGTGAAACAATACAAGACCACAGATGATAGGTATTGGGATATGCATGCTGTCTCATTATACTATGTGATAGTAATCACTGAATCAATTATTTTATTCCTGTATGTCAACTCACCCTCTGTGTTGGATACTGAATGGCGGTGGGGTGAAGACACGCATACCAACCCTCCCGAGACATCACGAGTTGTACGTATAATTTCAAATGTCTTCCGACCCATCGCGTCAGATACTTTTTTTAGCTACTGTACGTTCTCCATGGGAAAACTGCAGATACATTATTGTAAGATTAGAAGTTCTAACAATATTGATGTTTTATGAAAATATTGCATATTCAAAATACTGAAGTATAGTTACAGTACAAGAAATGCAACAGGAAGATAAATTCAGTGTCATCAGAATCTACTTGTCTTGTAACCTGAAGAATACCGATGCTGGTCACCCAGCACCTTTTTCTAAAATCAAGTCCTGAAAGTACCATACAGTATTACGAATACAAGTATACAACTCGGTTTTCACCACTTAGCGAGGATGAAGTGATCCGAACATATTCTGCCCTGGTACCTTGTATCAGCAAGTCAAACATCAAGTAGATTCCATGGAGCTCACCCTAGCAAGAAAACTGTAATTAGCCCTGAATGTTAACATCTGTAAAAATAGTTTTATTATCCATTGTTTTCCATACTTGAGGAAACAAATGTTGCATACAAGCTTACCATGAAAGGGAAACATCAAATGTGTACTATGTGAAGTTTCTGCACACAGCCATTTGTTGATCTTTCACAGGGCAGCCCTTCATTTCTTCCACAATCCTTGTTCACATGTGTACAATATTACAAGTTTTTAGGGGAACGGTTTTTCCTTAACATTCCCTCAATGGACACTTGTGGAAAGAGGTTACTTTTGACAATTTTTCTGGCGGCTAGGCCTGGCTGGCCGACTCGGGTAAGATCTTTATAATGTTGACATCATAGAGGAACCATGTACAGTATACCTGGTGTTAGGTCATTACAGTAAACAATGATGTAGTTATGGGTTAGGTTTGTTGGATTAAGTGCTAGATTTTGCTTGAGAACGGTCTACACAGTTGTTAAGAGAAGGGCTCTCGAGTTAGTGGTCATATACAGTATTTTCTCAATTTAACGAACTAGTTTGAGCCACCCTTTCCTTTAAATCGAACTTCCGTTATTTTGACTCGATTTAGCAAACTAGTTCACTAAATTGTGAGCATGATTCTGTTAAATTCCACGCCAAATGCGACGCTTGGCACGTGGGGTTTGTTGACATTCACTCAGTCTGTGTCCTGGTGTAGGGGAGAAAGTCAAAATAGTGCAGCTATTAATGGGAAAAAAGTTTGGAAATAATAAGACAAATTTAAAACAAACACCAAACCCCCTAGTATAAGCTAAGCCATGAATAATGTTTCTAATGTTTCTATGTAAATATCATGTGTCTGAGGTGTCTCCGCAGGTGTGAGCTTAACAGAATTAATCTCAATTTAACAAACTACAGCAGTTCACTAAATCGAGCTAAAAATAATGGAAAATATTCCTTCTGCTAAATCAAGAGTTCATTAAATTGGATTCCATTAAATCGAGAGTATAATGTAATGTACTTCCTTTCTACTTGCCTTTTTTTCTCTCGCATGACTGGCACAGTTCAAGTTCTCCTTAAATTCTTGTTGTCTACTTTATTATCTAGTCCTGCATATTACATGGGCTATTTTTGTGGTATACTGTACTGTTCTCTGATTACACTTTTCATATATTTTTTTTAATATGTGGGAGAATATAAGACGATAAGAAGAATTATAGAATTAACGCATTGGTTATGATGGAAAATAATTAGCAGGAATCGAAAACCTAGTTAAAAAGGATGCACTAAAAGTAAAAGTGATGCTAATGGGTGACGTTGACCTGTATGAAGCAACAGGGCTGAACAAGATAAATACTCAGAGGTTTGCTTTGGAAAGGAAATACCAAAACAGGAAACATCTATTAAAACAATAAGAATGAGTAGGTGAAGGCAGAATTTGAGTGTGTTTGTTTCATATTCTGAACAAAATAATCTAACATTATAAATCAACTGTACCTGTACTGGAATAAATTGGCAAAAAAAAACTACAGAATTTTGGTTTCATTTTATTATAACTTAAACTGCCATATGAGAAATGATGACACTGGCAGATACAAACAAAGAAAATATGAGGTTGGTCATGAAATTTTGACGTAATCTACTAATTCTGTATAAGAGTACGAGTTTGTCATCATTATTCATCCTTCTCTTCCTCATCACTGATCACCCTAGTGTCTGCTGGATCTGTGACCCACCCATTGAGTAGTCCTGAATCTGCCAGTGAATGATAGATAACAGATCAACCTTTTCAGGCCTTGTGTACCGGAACATTCTTCCTCGAGTCTTTCATTAAACTTGCAGTATGACAAGTAATAAAAATATGAAATCCTTCCAATCTCCAAAATCTAAAAGATACAAAGAAAAACAACTAAATTAACAATATGTAAATGCATAGACTAATACAGTACTGTATAATCATTTCACAATCAACCACTCCACTGATATGATGAACAGTGTGTTGAATATATCAAGAGATTAAATACATGACTTTTATTAACATGCTAATTTTTAAGAATGATTATAAACATGCAGTTCAGGTACCCTTCAATTAATGAATGGGTAAGATTCCTGGAAACTATTCGTCAGGTGAAATTTTGTATTTCAACTCGGAGAACAAATGGGAAATGCAGGGGGTCTTCATTATACATCAAGGATGTGTTCCAGAGAAATGCAACTTATAGTTAAACATTATATAATGAGGAATTTTTCCCCATATGAATTAATGCATTCCAACATGTACAGTAATAGCCGTTGAAAGCTCAGGATGTGTTCCTAGAGAGAGCTTTCAGCACAATCAACTTACAATGGGGGCATTTTAACATACTGTACTGTAAAGTATTTGATGTGGGGATATAAATTCCTTACAATATTGTTTGTTACCTTTGAGTAATACATGATGGCTCCATTTAGCTACTTGTATAATAAGACAACTGATAAACTAATAAACCATGGTATATGCAGGTGCATAATACACTACAGTAAACCTCTGATAACTCGGCACATATGGAGCTCTGGCCTTGCCGGGTTATCCCAAATTCCGACTTATCGAGGCACTCCCCCCCACCCCCTTACAAAAATACAATAAAAATTACCAACCCATATATGTGTTCATGTAATTACTAAATGTAAAAAAGTAACACTTGCCAGCACTGCAGGCAAAGAATGAAGCATCATAGTAGGTGACACAAGTGCATGGTGGGCATGGTAGGTGACACAGAGGCATGGTAGGTGATGAAGGTGGCCAGATAATTTTAGATATCTCAGCATTTCCCGAGTTATACTAAAATACATTCCGAAACCATATCCATGCTGAGTTATATTAAATTCCAAGTTATCAAATGCCGAGTTATCGAGGGTTTACTGGACAATATTATTGATTAAGTACTGATAAATACACTTCAATATTATTCAATTCACAGCTGTTGTGGTAAGCTGTTTGGGCTATGTAAACAAAGCCGCCAAGAATTTAATATTGTGCATTAACTCATCTAGGATTGGGTGTGGTGTTCTTTTTGTGAAAACTGATTATTTTGTGATAATGTTTTACTAACCCAGCAACAAATGAACCTAAATAAGACTGTATGGGAATTATGGAGAAATTGCATACCTATTGTAATGTAGTTATAAAAGGATCGCGGGCAGACGAGCGTGTAAAAGTATTTTATACAGTACACCATATATCTTTACCCACTGGCCTATGGATGAGTTATACATCATTTACTCAGATTACTCGGAGGTGAACTGCTGCAATACATTATTTATTACAATATTTAGTGCTTACCAGATGCCATAACTTCTCCTTGAGCAATGACTCTATCCAGGTTAGTTTGGATGGGCAAATGAAGACTGGAGTTGGGCTCACCTTTTTTAATTCACTTGAAGAATGCAGTTACTTCTCCAGTGGGGCATAGTTGAGAAGCTTTTCAATGAGGTCCACATGGCCAAGGAGCATCCTTCGGCAGCAGTACCGCTTCAAGCCCAGGGCATCCAGTGCATCACTGACAGGAATAAACAACCTTATGAAATGAGAGTTGGTGGCCATGTGTTAGTGGAAGTGAATGAGTTTGTTTCAGGTGAATGTGTTGGTAAGAATGAGTGCATATTACCATGATCAGTGGTTAAATGTGTACTGTATTTCTAATAGTAAAGCAATAGAACTGAAATAGTATTAGACATCATGCTAATGTACTAAGAGGGTAAGTTGCAGTAGAAGCGGCTGAATTCATGTTTTTTATCATCAAAATTAATTTCTAATGACTTAATAAACTATTTTGAAATACAGTAGAAAGTAAAAATCCAAACTTTAATAAAATCTGCAAAACAATTTTAATAATTTAACAATTTTCTGGCAACCACAGGAAGACAAAAGGTCAGAACAGTGCTGGATCTGGAATATGGAGATTATCTTGTGTGAGGAACATAGCGTAAGAAGGAGAGGAATTTACCTGATGTTGGTAAAGGATTAGGAAATGACAATTCACATACTGTATTGCCACTAAAAATGAGCAAATCCCCATTCATGTTACAGTACTAATTACAATACTAAAATAATTTGGGATCTTGTATAACCACACACTATAATTAAATATAATCCATCACACAGTGGTCAATATACCATGCTCAGCTTTCAAGGACGTAGAGAAGGAAATTATACTTCTTTACATCCCCCTCCTGGTTTGATGAGGGGGACAATAAGGCAGATAAGGGTAAATGAAAAGTGGCAAAAACAGGAAATGGGAGAGACAATACACAATAAGAACTGATTAAAAGTCAAGTCTGGTGACACAAATAAGTCGCTATTCAAAATTAAACATACATGTATTCCAAAACAAATGTGAATAAAAAATAAAAATTAAGTTATTTCAAGTCACTTGCTGATGTGTCACAAGCAAAGCAAACAATAAAATACTATATTTGTATGAGAATCGTCAACTACAGTAGTATAAAAAAAACAATACAAAATTAAATATGTATTCCTCAATCCAGTAAATTTACCACACCAACAATTTAAATACATTCTAAAAAAAAATTCATAAATCAAGACATTACACAATCATAAAATGGTAAAATTACTGTTTCAGTCATCCTTTTGTTTTTCAGACAGTTTTGAATGATTTTGATCTAATCTAACCTAGCCGCAAAACCAAGGAACTATATCTAACTTAACCTAAATTCCTAAGATTCCCTGGATGAACGAAATGATAATGATACCCATAAAATTGCATATGCAAACACTAATACAGTAATCAGACAAGAAAATCATGACTGACTTGAAGAACTCACCCTTCAGTATACTCAGCTGACAAGAGTCCAAGATAGCTCTCCCACTTGTTGCCGATCACCTTCCCACAGGTAAAGCAACGGATGGGGATTATCATCTGTAAGAAAATGTAAAGATAGTGTACAGGTATACAGACAACTCCGTGGAATTCCAGTTTAAGGCTCCTTAACCTGGACACCTTTTCTTAAACATTAAACTACCTTTTAGAAAACTATGCATTTACACAAGAACAAATATAGCATATTTATGTTCAGCATATCCAAATAGCAGTGTATATTTTGCCGTGAATGGCTAAGTTCCTACTAACGCTAATTTAAGAGTGCGCTCTGACTGGTTAATTGTCCATTACCGGTGAACAACGCGAGAACTATATTTGACCATGACACTGGTGGCATTTGGCATTTATTTCACCATGAGTCGATCGTTGTGTAGCTATAAACATACCTAAGCATATTTCTGTTATGCATGGAAACTACTAAAAGGAATTTCATATTTCTATTTATATAGGGAGAAGGCAAAAAAATTACATTACGTTTCCAGCGCAAATTTATATTTTTCGAGTATTTTTAACCAGGTAAGACCTCCCCAATTACCAACAATATTTGTTGTTCAAAATGGGCATTAGAGGGAAAATGTGAGGTAAAATACTAAAAGGAACAGCAAACAAGCCTTTGAAAACATTACCTAACTTGTAAAATGGTTAAAAATACGGTAATGTCTGAGAACACCACTACCACCAGGCACCAGAAGGAGTTGTTCGATTTTGTTCATTTTTTCCACAGATGTTCTTAAAATTATAAAAGAGGCAACATTTACTAGAGCCTATTAGAACCTGACCTAACCAAAAAAAAAAAAAAAACCCTACCTAACTTTACCTAACTTCCTCGACCCACTATATTAAACTGAAAGCACTTAGCCAATCAGAGCCCACTCATGGTAAGATAGCAATAGTAGGAACTTAGGTATTTTATAGTAGTTCACACAACATTCCTACCCCTAATCTTTTACCATATACAAAAAAGACGTCTAATTTTAAGATAATTTTCTTCCATTACATTACTGTCGGAAATGTATAATAACGGAGATAGCGCACGCCAAATCTTTCTCTATTTTATTCCATTAACCTTCAGCCAACAGGATCAACAGGATCCCCTACCTTGTTGACAGTAGAAGGGGGGCGATAACTAATAAACAGGCAATTTCCGACGGAAATACACTAGTAAAACATAGGGTTAATATATAGGACTAACCCGCCGGGCTGCATTGCGCCTATGCGGCTATATCATGTCACGTCCAGAAATGCCTCAAATTTCACCATATCATAGTAAGTTCTTCTGTTTAATATACTGGGCAAGTTAGGTAAGGTTAGGTCGGTTTGTTTGGTTTGGTTTGGTTGGTTAGGTCTGTTCTTCATAACCACAAATGTTAAGTAGCGTTTATGTTAAAAAGATCCGTTTTTAACATATTTCCACAAACTACAACCGTGTCCACTATAATATAACAATGAAAATTCTGCGTTTTTATAATTGTTTTCAATCAATTTTGCCCTCGGGTTAGTCCTATATAATGACCAAACATAGTTTTGATTTTCTAACAGAGTTGTGTGAACTACTATACTCTGTAAATTTATCGGAACTTAGCCAGTCATGGCAAAATATCCGCAACACTTCGCAATTACCCTAAAAAAAATGAGAATGGGTAATATTGCAGTAAACAGCAACCACAGAATTCCGGAAATTCACTACTCAATCGATATAACTATTTTTGGTATTATTGCGTTTACACACCGTTCATTCCTACCACTAATCTATTATCATATTCGAATAAGACGTCTAATTATAAGATAATTTTCATCTATTACATTACCGGCGGAAATGTAAAATAACGGAGATAGCATATCCAAAATTTTCTCTATTTTCTTCCATTAATCTTCCTCCATTATCGCCTGCCTCACCTCCAACACTGCGTGTCTCCTTCATAAAACTCACGGGCATGCATTCCCGTACACGTCACGCATCCAATCAAAAACGGTTTAGTTTTTGCAACCAATTAAAATGATTTTGGGTTTAATTCGCAGTATATTTGGCCCAATCAAATTCGAGTTTTATTTTGGGTCTCTCATATTTTGAAATTCAAGTTCAATTCCGACCATGGAAGTCTGCGATGGGTGTCACTTTTAGTATATGGAACTGATTGCGAGTTTTTGGAGGAAAAAAGTAGAAACTATTGCATTTTTTCAATCGCATGGTGTTCTTCCAACCTCAGTAAAGTGTACAAAGAACAAGACAATGTAAATATTGCAAAGACCAACATATGTGGAGTTGGGTAAGAATTCCAGAATGCAACGACGAACAAGAACCAGGCCAATAAGGTAAGAAATAGGTGATTCCATCATATGATGAGAGTCGGTTAGGTTAGGTTAGGTTAGGTTAGGTTTGGTAACACTTTTTTTATCAGATACTGTTGCTGTAATCTGCAATTTTACCAAAAAATGTTTCTTCATCGCCGAACTTGACCGGACGCCAAAACGAATATTTACCGTCCCTTCGTCCCTTGATATATTTGAGAAACAATTAATTTATAATACCTTGAAAAGATCTAGCTTCTACGTAATCTTCTTCTCTGATACTCTTACAGAACTATTCGCTTCTCTGAAAAAGGAGAAGCTGTTCCCTGACTCTCACTCTCCAGTCACACACTCGAGAAGATGTTCCCTGTTAAAAATTTACCACAACCAGGAACGTGAAGCCATTTATGTTTTTAGGCTGCATAAAATAAAATAATATATCCAAACTAATTAAAATTACACTCTGACCAAAATTTTATGAAAATTTAGAATAGATTTTGGTCATCTGTCTCAAAAAGAGCAAAATGATAATATTCATATATCATACTTGTGGTAATATTTTAACATTTAATCACATGAAGGCAGTTTATTATGATGACTATCCTGCTATCTGTCGTCAGCCTCATGAACCTCATTATTTAATGCTGAAAATACCACAAACTATTTAAACTCTAATAATAATAATAATAATAATAATAATAATCAGACGTACTGTACTTACAATATTGTATTTCCCAGTTAACTCTGTAGCATTGATCAATTGCATCCCTGGTTACGGACTTCAGCAGGCAACTTTGACGTTGAACTTCATCAGCTTCATCTTCAAAAAGATTAGTTCAGAAGACCTGTATCGTGTGGTCAGGAAATGGAATTATTCTACATCTTTCCCGAAATCTTGACGGCACGACATAACTTTTACTTTTACTTTTATCCTCTTCACCACTTGTCGGCTCGTTCGCCGCTTGGGCGATCGGTCACGTCTCTGTTACGCACTGTTGGCAAGTACTGGGCATGCACCTGCTCCTGAATGTACCTGAATCTGCTCCAGTGTTGGTCAAGTCTGGTCTTGAAAGAGCTTACACTCGGTGCCGTCACAACACTTTCTGGTAGATTGTTCCAAGAGTTCATAACTCTCACTCTTAAAAAGTTTGCCCCCACAGTTTTCTGGACTTGCGGCTTCTTCAATCTTGAGCTGTGACCCCTTGTGGGGCGAGCGTCCGCCAGCTCCAAGTAAGGACACTCGACTGAGTAGTGCCCCTTGAGATGTTTATACACCTCAATTAGGTCACCCCTTGCCCGTCTGTAGTATAAGCTAGGCAAGTTCAGGCGCTCCAATCTCTCAGGGTAGCTGAGGTGCCGAAGGGCAGGCACCAGTCTGGTGGCCCTCCTTTGAACATTTTCAACCAACTGACAGTCCCTAGCATATCTCGGGGACCAGACGGGGTGACAGTACAGTACTCCAGATGGGGAAGCACTTCACTCTTGAAGATCGTTACGAGGGACGGACCGTCTAGATATCTGAACGACCTTATAAGGCGCCCAATATCCTTCAAAATTGCATTAATAACATAACGATATTTCAAGTTAATGGGGAACTATATATTATTTAGAACAACTTTGACTGGATGTTATTTTGCGATAGAATTAATACTTTAGCAGTTATTTTGCTTTTAAGTTTTTCGAATATTGTGACTATTTTTCAAGATGATGGCTATTGTTATCGCCGCTGGCTTATTATTACTGGTGCCAGTGCTGACGTGTTGCTGCCTTACCCGGACAAAACATTAGATCTCTCAGCCTGCGACCACGTGCCCCCCCCCCCCCACGACGGTCTAAAATATAAGATCCTCCAACTTGGACTTCCCACCAACATTGAAAAGTTGCTTTGCAACTTTCTTGACGGCAGAAATGCCAGACTGAGGGTAGAACAGCACACAGGAGAGACCTTCCCACTCATGAGTGGAGTCCCTCAGGGGAGCGTCCTCTCCCCCACCTTATATATTATCTACACAAGTGACACTCCGCCTCCCACTAGAATAGGTAACGAAGATGTTATGTATGCAGATGACATCACTCAAATAACAACACATCAAGGAAAATCGCGAGCGCTACAGGGCGACAGCATCAGGCAGGAATTAGAAAGGGTAAATAATTACGAAAAACAATGGAAAATCCAAACCAGTCTCCCGAAATTCACAGTGATACCCTTATGCAGAAGGAAAACTCACCCATCAGTAACCAATAATGCCCAGATAGAATACAAAAGCAGAGGGACCCTCCTGGGCCTGCATATATCCACGACAGGTTACTCCCATCATGTCCACACCAAGAAGGAAAAAGCAAAAAGGGAGCTGAGAAAACTATACCGCTTTAAAGCGCTTCCTGAAAACTCCGCCTGGTGACATCATTTATCGCACCGATATTAACTTACCCAGCAATACCTCTTCATACTATGAGCACCACTCAAATATTAAAATTACAGGTGGTTCAAAATGAAGCCCTAAGATTCGTCACAGGCGAAAGATACCCCTTCACCAGAACCACAGCCGAGATACATAGAGACCTGAGAATGAAACCCATCAACCAGCAGCTGCACACCCTGGCCAGCAGAATCTGGCAAAAGATAGAACGATCAGAGCAAGAACTCCTTCATAGACTCCCACCAGATAACGACAACAACCATACATGGTTCCCAAAAAGTTACCAAATCTCAAAAGGTCCATTACCACCCCCGATCTACACGGCCAGGCAATAGACAACCTCCCTAGACCAACATCCGCCAGTAGGATCGGCGGAATATGAAATAAGGCCCTTAAAACACCCACGTATGGGATAGGGTAGGATGTCTAGTGCCTGTACCGACAGACAATAACTTACCCATGACACAACCCTAACACACTATTAGCTCAGCTAGGCGGTCAGCCCGCCCTCTCTTACCTCCTCCTAAACTTCTTCAATTTCCGAACTATATCTTCCTTCCCCCACCTCTAATCTTCTTTAACCCTCCTTTCTAAAAAAAAAAAAAAAGAAAAAACCTCTGGCGTGAGCGCTGAGAGGGTTTACAGATTACAGATTGCCCACGAGGGAGCTTGTTTATTGGGCACCCCCTTACATCCTGTGCATGGTGAAGTGCAGAAGCGTTTACAGTGCCCAACTGGGAAGCATGCGGAGTTCATGCTTGCCTTTATGACTCATGCATTAAAGGCGTAAAGGCCTGAAGGGTCATGGGTTTAGTCAGCAAGTTACATAAAGTGACAGAATGATGAGTGTGTGGGAGGGAAAATTCCCGGTACAATTTATCTGTTTATGGAAAAGTGTGGCAGGTCCCTAATGATGTCAAGTGCCAGGCCTGTCACTAGGAGGAGGGATATCTGGTCAGGGAGGGAAGAGGTGTTGGTAACGGCTGGGGACCTGTAGGAGGAGGTCATGGGGCAAATGAAGATGTGGTGAAAGAAGGTGTGAGAGTCGGTTGACGCTGAGAGGGTGGCGTGGCTTTCGTGACGCAGATCGCCCTCTCGAGTGATCCCCCCCCCCTCCCACGCAACCTGTTACCCTGCCAGACAAGTACTACCACCGCCAGGAGTGTTATCGCCGCTGGCGTCAGCGCTGTCGTGTGATTACTGGCGCCTTGCTGCCTTACCCGAACAAAGATTAAGGGGTGAGCTGTGTTTACGGACAAGAGGTCCTGATTCTGCTAAATGTATTGTTTAAAAGGCGGCGTGGCCGCCTGGACTCTAGGAGACTGCCCCCTAGAGTGATGCTGTGAGGACCAGCACTCTGCTAGCAGTGGTGAACAACAACTCCCAATCCTGGCCGAGTTTTTTGTGCTGGAACAATTTACACAGTACAGTACTATCTTCCCTTGGAACACCATACTGGTTCGCATTGACCCGCACTTGTAAGTACAGCCAAAGCAATGGCATACCCCGCAGTACTGAAATATTGTGGACTAATTATGCCTACTCGTACCTACCTTATCTAGAACAATAAGACAACGCGGAATGAATTGTAGCTAAGATTAATAGAGTTATGAACTTTGGATCGTGTCATTATGCTCAATAATCAATTATAATTAAGATAAATTGCGTGAGACTAACTAATTATGTATCAGATAGATCATCATGTAATACTAATGAACGCCTTGTTGTCTGTAGGTTTTGACCCCATCAATAAATATTGAATGCGTCAAAAGACGGGTTTCAATCATTCCCTTCGACTTGTCCGTCACCTGAACGTCCTTAATTAAGGCGTTTATAGCTATATTGCATGTTAATTGTACTCCCTTGCCATATTAGACAGGCTGAAATATGTATGTGTTATTATTAACATTTTGTTATGCTTCGACTTGAGTGAGCTTTCCCAGACAGAATTTAGTGAACACGTATGATTCACAGCCACTGCCTGCCACTCCCCCCGCACTCCTCTGCAGTATAAAACGCTTTGTTAGCAAGAGTCTGCGCGAATCCATTGAAAGTTGTAGCTGTGCTTAATCTTATTACTTTAATAAGTTTAATGAAGTTGTATCGTTGTAAGTGACTTTTTCAGAACGTAAGAGTGATACGTGTGAGTTACAAAGTTGGAATATGTAAAGTGAACGGAAAAGCCTGATATGATAACATGATACAGGATGTAAGAAAATAAGACGGTATACTTCTCCAGAAGAGTTTGGACATTGAAGTAAGCAGTGTAAGACGTAAGCTGAGAAGTGGTGAAATGATGAATTATGAAGAAAACATTTAATCAGGAAAAGTAATGTAATGTTGCACCACACTACACACTTGGACAGCTTAGTGTCCGCTTAAAATATAAATTCGTTTTCTTTGTTTTATTTCGGTTCGAAACAGTGTGATTGAGTTCTTGTAACAACAAATGCAAAAGAAAATATGTTTTATTACAGATATATGATTATCACTGGAAACTATTAACGAATAATGACTCTCAACAAAACGTTTTAAACGAATTGCATCACTCCGGAACGTTTATGTGGAACGCTGAGAACGACCCTACTCATGGGGCAGTCCGAACATTGCCAGAACCAACTATTAGACTTGTGGCTCCGCAAGACACGGTGAATATCCGTGATGGTTGTTAGTTATAAGGATTCATGCTTAGCTGGCTGAAGAGAAGGGCAAGAGTGACCATCAACTCGCGCTATATTAATCTGTTACGTCGCAACATATCTCCAGACATGTTTGTTGCCGAGCCAGTACAATGTATCCTCAACCACTCTCTCAAGGTAATGCCACTTCACAGTTCTGTCCATACCTTTGTCTCATTCATAACATACGGAAACAATCTCCTTCCTTTAGATTAGTTCCTCTTAAAAATATAAAAGAAATGGGGACCAGAGTTCCACACTATTCCATTAACAATATTGTGTTCATTGTCAACAAATTGTCACACCCATTGATTTATAAATTTCCTGGTACACTACTAATATATTTCACAATTCTTGAAGCTGTTTATGAGTATTGCACTGTTATTAAATGCCAAATAGTTATATATGCTTATTTTTGAGAGTGCAAATCATTACAATATTCAAAGTCAGCTGAGGTAAAAGAATAACAAGGATAAACAACAAAATAAATAAATTTGATATCATGGTCAATGTTCTATACTTTTAGAATTGGCCATTGTATAGTTTGTAATATTTATGTCAGGTTGTTGATTACATGCATTTATTTATTTTACTTATTTATATTTCTCACTATATCACATCAGCTGCTTACAAGCTGTTTCTGATACTTTGTTATGACCTTTATTTTCCATTGTTAGCTTAGGAGGAAACTGGAGTACCTGGAAGAAACCTGGCTAATTATTCGGATTGTGACCATATGCTGTTTTAAATTGAAAATGGCTTTTAAAATACTAATTTTTCACTGATTTTATTAGAGGATACTGCATTATGTTGAGAAAAAATATAAACATGGCTGAAATAATGTGCTAACCTAAACCTATATCTTAACCAGCCCATATCTAGAAAACTAAGCATTTACACAAGAAAATGAATAGTAGTGAAAGTAATCAACATACTAAACTGTCTTTAAACACCCCCATAAATACTGAACCGCTGACAGTCACTAGTCATATATTAGTCAAAACCTGTGATGTTTGGTAGGGCCACACTGGATAACACGCCCAGGACAGTGGTGAGAGATGTGTGCATTACTGCTCAACAGTACAGTACCACTAACACCCTATGTATACCAGTACTAATTCACCATATGTTTATTAATGTAGTAATTGTATCATTAAATGTTAGAGTATATATTTTTTCAAAGCATTCAAGGATTCTCCGAATTGAAAGTAAAATGTTAAAGTCCTCTGAGTCCTACTTAAAGCCTTCCAAGTTATCAACGGAATAATTATGACTCATACGTGTACATCCTGTGTTCATTTTTCTTTGTATTATGTGTCTGCCCCCATGTGTTCACACATGCTTTCTCTGTATACAATGCATGTGTTTTCTTGTTTGTATGTATAAATAGTGAATGGAAGGTTGTAAGTGAAAGATATATATATATATATATATATATATATATATATATATATATATATATATATATATATATATATATATATATATATATATATATATATATATATATATATATATATATATATATATATATATATATATATATATATATATATATATATATATATATATATATATATATATATATATATATATATATATATATATATATATATCAAAGGGAGACAACGGAGCACCTTAGCTTTTGTCTTTATTCAAGACATCTTCAGAGCAGCTGAAGATGTCTTGAATAAACGTAAAACATTGTTTCCCTTTTTCCGTGTGATTTATCAAGATTTATCTTATCCACGTTTTCATTGTGGATCTACATGGATACTATATATATATATATGTATATATATATATACTGTATATGTATATATATATATATATATATATATATATATATATATATATATATATATATATATATATATATATATATATATATATATATATATATATATATATATATATTTATATATATATACTTTTAAGCTAAGTAAAGACCTAGATAAACTGTATGACCTGTATAAAATTATGAAATCAGTTCTCCATTATTTTTTCAACTTGTATGCATAACATTACTTACTGTAAATTATATTGTTCTTCCAGATCTTTATAACCAGGTATATCTTTCTTTTTATTTAATCATTAAAGAAATAAGATAAAGTGTTGCATATTAATAGAGAAACATTATGTACTAAAGAAACTCTTGAATAAGTACAGTAACATCTTGAAGGTAACAGACACAACCTTATGTCACCGGGCTGGTGTCAACAGGAAACGTAAAGGTTTAGTGTTGTTTTTTTGTTTTTTTGTTTTTTTACAGGGCTTACCCCACCTGGGCACAGGTCACTGACTCACATTGGGGCCTGGGGGGCAAAAATGTAATAATAATAAAAATAATAATAATTCATAGTAAATAGAATTTATAATAAAAATATGCAAATAAAAATAAAATAGTAATGATACAGGTAACAATAATAATAATAACAAACAACCATAAACAAATACAAAAATGAAAAAAAATCAAGAGTGAGAAATGATATAACATAAGAACATAAGAAAATAAGGAGTCTGCAATAGGCCGGTTGGCCTGTGCATGGCAGCTCCTGTCGAGAGTTACTACCACTCTCTATCATCCATGAATCTATCCAGTCTCCTTTTGAAACTTTCCAGCGTTCCAGCACCCACTACATAGTAGTTGCTAGGCTTGTTCCACTCGTCCACCACCCTATTTGTGAACCAGTTCCTTCCTATCTCCCTCCTAAACCTAAACTTATCCAACTTAAATCCGTTGCTTCGAGTCCTATCCTGCTCGGATATTATAAGAACTTTATATCCCCTTTATTGATTCCTTTCACCCACTTAAATACTTCTATAATATCTCCCCGCACTCTTCGTTTAGTTTCTTTAACCTATCCTGATATGGAAGGTTTCCAAGTCCCGGAATCATTTTCGTCATTCTTCGCTGCACCGACTCTAGTGAATTGATATCCATTCTATAATAAGGGCACCAGAACTGAACCGCATAATCGAGGTGCGGCCTGACTAGCACAAGATATAGCTGCAATAAGACCTCTGCACTCTTATTACTTACACTTTTAGATATAAAACCCAATACTCTGTTTGCCTTATTTCGAACATTAACGCACTGTTTTTTAGGCCGTAGGTCCAGGCATACAAGTACCCCTAGGTCTCTTTCACAAGTCGACTTCTCTAGGTTGATGTTGTTAAGGCTGTATACATTGACAGTATTTGTTCTTCCAATATTAAGTACGCTGCACTTGCTGGTGTTGAATTTCATTTGTCATTTTTCAGACCACCCCTGCAGTTTATTTAGATCCTCCTGTAATGCATTTGCATCCTGCCTTGAATTAATCTGCCGCCCTATTTTGGTGTCATCCGCAAACTTGCTTATGTCACTGCTGATCCCAGTATCTAGATCGTTTATGTAGATTATGAACAAGAGTGGGCCTAGTACTGACCCCTGGGGAACCCCACTGGTTACACGACCCCTCTCAGATTTAACACCATCTACGCTGACCCTCTGCGTTCTATCGGTGAGCCATGATTTTATCCAATTTAAAACTTTCCCCTCGATACCATGAGCCTTACGACGGGGTTAGGGACCCAAATCCAGGTCGTAAGTCGGAAATGCTTAAATAATACCTGTACATAGAAAATCTAAAATGGGTGTCTCTTTTTCTTCTCAGCACCACAAAACACTCACTTTTAAGCTTGCCAGCCATTTTAAAGTGAATTACAAACGAAAATTTTGTCTGTGTACTGACTTTGGGACTCGAAAATACGTAATTTGACCAAATTTTCGTACGACTGAGGCAGGTTGTAAGTGCCGGTGGTTGTAAGTCGGAGGAGCTGTATGTAAGTTGCGTTGTCAAAGTAAGGGAAACAATTGCTAATCTTACTTTTGCACTGTTGCTATGTTGAAATTCCCTGTTCTATGGCCTTCTCCCATCTAGAGCACTCGGCACTAAATTAGTACTCTATCCTTTAAATTTGATAATACTGTACCGCACTTGTTAAAAAAAAATTTGGCAGCCTAGCCTCTTGCCAAGGAGATGGGGAACCCACTAGCTTTTTTTTCACGATAATAGCTGACTAATCATGCAGACAGACAGTCATGTTCTTTGTTATGAACTTTATTGTCCAGTATTAATACAGGAAAAACTTGTGATGTTTAATAGGGTCACACTGGATGGCTAACACCATTCCCACATTTGCCCCATGCCAGGACAGAATTGTCAGGGATACATGCACTTCTGTTGAAACTAAATCTCCCATAGAAAAATATTCTTAAATTTTGTCAAGTATGTTAAACAAGACTGTCTTCCTCAGCTGGTTGTTCTGAATAGTGAAGGACGGGACTACTCCTTGGAAGTTCCCACAGAAATGACTGTAGAAAGAGTCAAGAAGATGGCTGTATGCCACTTCTTCACTCCTCAGGAGGCAGTGGGAAGCAGTGGAGGGGAAGAAAGAGCCACTATGGATGGCCCTAAGACTACTATTGGAAATCGCACCTATCGCCTAGTTTTAGTCAGGGAAGCTAGACCCCTCGCTGAAACAAATTCAATCCAGTTAGAGCAGTTGATGGATAATGGTAAGTACTGTATTTGAAGTTTATTTAATTTAAGTTTTGTATATACATATTTTTTAAATTCTCTATTAACTTAAGTCAACAACATTGACAGTTCATAAGTTACTGGAGTCAATGATTATGTCCATCAAGATTATATAAATTACTGGGATCACCTGAAAATTAAATACCCCATCTTATATCACTTGATTAACATCCTAATGCAAACTGGTGGGGAGGGAGGGTAGGTTAGGTTGTCATTTGTGTGTTCACTCATCAGGTGATATACCAGTAAGCTGGGGTGCCTAATCTCCAGGTAATCCCAGAAATGTATAATACAGTACGTATCAACAAAACAAACGCATCTTCAGGAGTAGCAGGAATTTTGAGCAACAGAATATGAGGTACCTTAGCCAGAGACTTATTGGACATAGATGTTTCAAGAGACATCATTGTCAGCAGGTAATTGTTTACTATATTTATTGTTGCTAATTATCATGATCACAATCACCATCATCCATAATAGGTGAAAAATGCTTGGGATCAGCAATTACTGTGTAGAATAGCATCCTACACAATGTGGCTGATCCCAAGTAGTTACTATATTAGGAAGCAAACAAGGCCACTTCTGAAACTAAAGCAGTGCTTTCAGATGAAGGAGGATTAATGAAGGATGGATGAAATGCAAAAATCCATGAACATTTTCAGATACTGTACTGGGTTTTTAGTATTCCTCCCACTTATCATATTTTCTTTTTATCTGTCATGCTCATGTTCTGGGTACATTTAATCATCAGTTTATTATTGTAAAGTATATACAGTACCTGAACACATGTTGCCCATATACCAGTAGCTCTATATGTAAAATGTGGAAGAGAAGTTTTAAATATATGAATCTTAGTTTTGTATCATTGTACAGTATATCACACTTAATTTATTTATCTCTGTTTGGAAGTGGGTCTCATAGGCCTACTGGCCCACTAGGGTAGTGAAGATACAGCACCGTGTAAATTAAGCCAAAATTTGGGCACACAAGGAATCAGTTTGGCTGGGACTGCACTCAACTTTCACTTTCCCATGTCTAAAGTTAGTTACTCATTCACAGCTGGGTTGACTAGGGTGTCCTGAGGGCCAACTAGTTACCCTTAGGACAGGATGCCTGCACTTTAGCTGCAAGGCCATCATGATATACATCTCCCTTTATTACATATTAATAATAAAGTGAATGTTTTAACCTATAAAACTGTTCACCAACAGATGAACTGCTACTTGTGGAGAGACGAGAACCACCACCAGTTAAAGAACCAACAGCTGAAGAAACTGCAGCACCAACTAAGGAAGAAATTGCGACTGCCACAACACAACTTCCAAAGAAAAATGACAATCGTGACCCAGATGCTTCACATCCATCTGTTGATGTTAGTACTGTACACTATTGTTTAATGTTAGTTAAAGGGTGTAGAAATTGATAATGTGTGCATATTACTGTACTGCCTCCATCATTTGTCATATCTACCTCTCTTCTTTCTGTTTTTGCTTCCACAATTCCAAGTCCTCATCACTAACAATTCATTCATTACATGTACCTTAGTTACAATAGACCCTTGATACTGTATAGTGTGTTTCAATACAGGACTGCACTTTTGATATAGTGTGGCACTCTAAATTACTCAAATTTTTCATTGTTGCACATTCAAACTCTGAGAATTTATTGTAATTTTTCATAAAATGACCCAAAATGTATATTAGAAATGGCTTTAAAATGGTTCCAGATATTACCTGGTTGGACCTTTCCCCCCAGTTAGTCTGGATTATTGCAGGTTTTCTGTATATGCCATTCATTCTCATCCCTGGAATAATACTTCAAAGTGATTAATATCCTGTATTACTTTAGTTCCAGACAGAGTTTCGACAGATCTTAGTTACAATGATTGAGGCATCAGTCCGCCTTATCAGCGCTGATCCAGAGTCAGATGAAGTGTTCAATCAGATACTTGACAAATTGGACCGCCGTCATCGTCCCCGTGTTGACCGTAATGCTCTGCGACAACTTACTGAAATGGGTTTCCCAGAAGCTAAGGCCACTAAGGCTTTGCAGGACAAGAGGTAAGATGTGATGATGTATCAATAGTTTACTATAGAACGATGTTTATTTATTTACTATATTTATTTTTTTAATATGAAAAGATGAATATATTGGGACTAGTGTGGGATCTCAGAATGCCATGTTTTACTTTATCCTCTTCACCATCAGTCAATAATCTAGGGTTATTGCTTAAGTGTTGGAGAGTAACTAGTGTATCCAAGGATGATAGTACAATACAGTAGTTACTTAAAAAGAATATTGGATTGAGAAAGGACTGCTTAGGAGAATTAAAGAAAAATAGATGACTGTATATGAGATGTAGAATAAAAATAGAAAATGCAAATAGGAAGGGGATGGCTGTCCAGGAAGGAGTGGTAAGCATTAGTGGAAAACATGGCATTAACTTATTGGGGGGGAAACTCATTATGCTATTGGATAATTTTACCTAGTGTGAAGTGACAGGGATGAGATTAGATATGTATCCTTGGGCCAAATTGTGGAAGTCAGACACCATGACAGAGCATATCTCTTACTGTAAAGCATTAGGAGTGAATTAATTATAGCAAATGTTTGCTCTTGGTTGCGGCCACCCTGTAATATGGCAGGAAAGGCTTTACCGAATGAAAAAAAAGGGGAAGACTATAGTGTATATTTAAGCACAAGAACTAATGACTTAATCTGCTGTTAGGTACATGTGAGACATCATTGTCCTGAAAAACTGCACTTTTGTATCAATGAGTGTATTCTATGCTTAAGGTTATTTTTGTTTTTCTAGAGATGTTATGGAAGCGATGGAATGGCTTTTAGCTCAAGGTAACGTGGAACATAGTGAAAGTGATGGCATAGTTGGTGTTAATAGTGGAGCCAGCACTGACAGTAAAGACAATGGTACCATCGACCATTTAAGCTCTGCAAGCAATATGTCGAATGACCATCCTCAGGACCCAGCAGAGAAAGTTCTTAACACTTTTCTTCAGTACAGGAAGAAATGGTTTCAGGTTTGTATTACCGTTTTTTAATATATATATAGAAAATGCGTGTGTCATTTGGAGAGAGAGAGAGAGAGAGAATGGTCGTAAGTCCCGACGGAGTAAGTCGAAGCAGTCGTAAGTCGGGGTCTAGCTGTATATATATAGTCAACCAAAAGCTACTAGATGCTGTGCTCCCGTCACCCACTAATATTGCTACTTCATGGATGTCCATTTCCCTCATTTAAGATGCAGACTTTATCCCCTCCTTTCATCTCCTTTGTTTTACCCTCCACCTCTCTTTTTTACACTTTTTACCAATCTTTCTCTGGTCATTCTCTCAACATGTCTATATCACCCTTGTCAACTCTTTTTCTCACACTTATTTCACTTCCATATCTTCTTGTTTCTGAATTTTATATTCTCTACATCCTATTCACCCAACATACAATACTGTCACTTCAGATGTGCTTTTTTCTTCTAGAATACTAAGATAAATCTTATATGAAAACATCTAAGAACTATGTAATGGGCTTCTCTTTTCATCATCTGCCATATCATGTACAGCTCCTCAGAACTTTCTTGTATTTTTCTTCCAGCCAAATCCACAAGCTGTGCAGAAACTCCTTCAAATGGGATTCAAGGAAGAAGACATAATAAATGCTTTGCGTGTCACTGGGAATAAACAAAGTGCAGCAGTAAGTTGTAATTATTTTTATCTAATTGTTGGAATTGATTTTTAAAACTACTACACAATTACCCACCCAAGCTCATTAACAGGATAACCTCAAATAATATTCTGTACAGAGTAAAAAACTTGATAGGCTTCATTTTATGTCTTCTTGGATTTTCTGTTTAAAAATTTCAAGCTGTTTGAATGAACTTCATACAAATGGTGGCTGGTGCTTTTCAGAAATACTTATTTTTTTCACTGCCAATTTTTAGAGAAATTTTACATTAATTAGTTAAGATTCATTGCTGAAACATCCTTAGAAGCTTATTGGTGGTCATAAGATCAGGGGCTATGAATGCTAGATAAGCATTCAACAGAGTTGCCACATCTCATAGTGCCAGCCACGGTACCAGGTATAAGTACAGGTGACTGTACAATCCAATGAACAATTCAGTGTTCCACAAAAATGACTAAAGGCCTTAAAAGCTTGGACAAAGTCCTGATTTGTTTAATTATACTTGTGATTGGATTAATTAAATCTGTGATTGGATTAATTAAATCTGTGATTGGATTGATTATAATGTACCTATAATTGGAATAATTATACCTAAATTAATTACATTTGATTGGATAAATTATGCCTGTGATTGGATTTAACAAATATATACTATGCAGTATTATGGGCACACAATATATTTACAGGAATGTACTATACTCCTTTCAGTGTGACTTGTTGCTACGTGATCGACCTTTGGTACCCGATGATCAGGGCCTTGACCGTGACTCTCCTATTATCTCGGCCATCCTCGCCTCCCCAGTTATACAACTTGCCCTGCCAAAGCCTAAGACTCTGCTTGGTAAGATTTTTAATTCTTATTAATTAGACTGGTAGTTTTGGATTATACAGGTGAATTTCAGTTAGCTTATTTTTGTTATTACTGGTATTATTACTGTAGAAATTAGAGAGCTGGTTTCACTCCCCTGGAATAGATATCATTGTCATCTCATTGTTAAATGAGACCTTGCATTTAGATCAGTCTTAAACAGGTAAACACATATTGTATATCTGTAAACATGTTCAGAGAAACTGAATCTGTTCAATTATTGTACCTTTGGTAGGAGTGACCTTTGGAATCCCATTCTTATTTCCACTACACCCAGGAAGTTAATGTAGTTTTAGCCAGTACTGTATATTGAAAATGTATTTGTTAAATTCACCAAGAGGTTGTCTCATTAAACTTCATGGTTTAGTATTACACAATATACCCGCTTTGTTAAGTGTCTTACTCGCAAATTATCCTGCTGTAGTCGATTCACTCCATCTGAGCTGTGTTACCAAGTGCAGGTCACGTCTTGCAAGTACATGCCATGTTTCCTTGGCATGGGTTTGAAATTGAGTGAGATAAAATGTATGGTGTTCCATCCACACTTAGGTTGTTAACTTGGGGTAAAAAGGTGATTATGCAAGAGCTGTGCTACAGGTGCTTCCTTCTGATAAGGTGTGTTTTAAAGCCTTGTAGTGGCATTATTTCCAACTTGTCCCAAGGCCTTAAGGATCCCCTGCTACAAATTCTGTTTGGATTATTTAACCGGAGTTCATTTCACGTGGACACTGGAATTGGTGTGGTACCCCACCTTATTCGAGTGTTCTACAAGGAACAGAGAGATTACCATCCTTGCTAGATTTATGTTTTATAATTCTGCGAAAGCCAACTTCACAGTACTATATTATTTTGTTATGTATACAGTATTCACATTATCTAGTAATGTGCAGTAGTTAGCGAATAAATGTTCTGAAATATGATTATACTGTACAGTAAGGTAGATTCTGCTATAACGCGATAATTGTGTTCTTGTAAAATATCGTGTTATAGAAATTAGCGTAATAGAAATAACAGGGCTTATGGAGAAAATAGGGTTAGGTGCAGATTTGAAATCGAAAAAATTTAGTAGTTAGCCTAACACAAAGGATAGCACAGTCTAAATAAATGTTACATTCATATCTAATAATGAAATCATACAGTAAATTTAACACTTTACCTTGAAAAAATATGAATGTAACCTCCCATATAAAATTGTGTAATAGAAAAAATCGACCTTTAAAGGGGTTTAAGTTATGAACTTGCATTTCATATTATTAATTATTGAATTTTTTATCAATTCTATTGGAGATGAAGCTGTTATGAAGAAAAAAATGCATTCATATTGTTCATGAATCATATTTATATACTGTATGGGGAATGAATGGAAGTGTAAAATACAGGACTGTATATGGTCTGCACCTTGCTGTATTGTTTGGGAGGCCTCCCATATAAAATTGTGTAATAGAAAAAATCGACCTTTAAAGGGGTTTAGAGTTATGAACTTTTATCTTATTGAATTTTGACCATCCCAGGTTTTGTTTTGAAAAACTTTAAAAAACATTATTTTATTCTTTTGATGTTCTAATCACCCACAGTACATAAGGTCACAAGGTGACGTACTGATTATGTTTATTGGTGATGAGGTCTGCAACCTACTGTAGTTATTATTACTAGGGGGGCCTTTTTAGTACTCAAGGATGAAAGGTTTGTACTTTATGGGCAGACTCCTGAAGCTTTGTTATTATAACTACTATTATTCACCTTTTAAAGGAAATTTATCCAGCATTATTTTTTTAAAACCAATCTGCTTCTAGTTTAATGACTGCAATTGAAGTTATGATATGTGTTTGACATGTAAAAGAGTATTATATTGTTTACTTCATAAAATGCAATACCACTGGACTTTTCTCTCCTATTTTTCAGCTCTGATGATGTTGTATGAGAGTCCAAATAATGCAAATATGTGGCTGAGTGATCCAGACACCCATCCTGTTGTAAGTCAAGTGCTCAGGATCTATCATGCTGAGAAGCACAGTCTGAGCCAAAGTCGACCACCTGCTTCCTCAGGTTCTACAGAATCAACAACATCCACATCATCATGGTCATCAACATCGTCATCAGAGACTGGTATATGTCGTACTCTCGGAAGGCCGGGCCTGCCATCCAGAACTAGTTCTTACCCATCTGTTAACTCTTCCATGTTCCCAGTTAACAGTGATGGTCCATCTCGCCCCCAGTTATCCTCCATACCTACGAGTATGTACTCGCCCTTTTCTCATTTGCGAAATTCGGGAAATGATCACACTTCATTCACAGACTGGCTTCCCAGTAATTCCTCATCAGCACAATCTCAACGTAGATCTTCACCTAGTTCTTCTCCAGTTCCAACACCTCGAGTAAATGCATCTCCAAACTCTTCACCAATACCCTCACATCATTTACCATTAAATAGAGAAGAACCAATGTCACACTCTGGCTCTCCCATCAGAGGAACAGTAGGAGTCAGGGGTACTACTGAAATCCCTAATGGAGTTACCCCAGAATTAACAATGACTTTAGGTTCATCATCTACAGGCCAGACCCCTATTTATGGTTTGCCCTTAGAACAGTATACCACACTACCGAGTACTGTTAGTATTGATGTAGAAATGGGTGAACCGGGGATAGATGCACAAGATATGGAAACATAGATTCACTATCACCGTACTTTCATTTGAAGGGTAGAATAAAAAATACGTTATACTGATTCAAGATATTCAGAATTAATAATTTAATGTTTAAACAAGGTTTAGAGATAATATAGCAAAAGAAATATGTGAAATGAGTGTAAAATTATTAGATAGTGTGAAGTGAAAGGTGTTTATTGTTCATACTACATTGTCAAGTTTGCAGACAACACAGAGATATTTGGGAAAGTAGCAAATCAAGACGAAGTAACAATAATGCAGAAAGACCTGAATGAGCTGGTCAAATGGTCTCAAGATTAGCAAATGCTCTTTAACATTACAAAATGCAAGACCCTATATGTAGGATACAACAACCCAAATCACAACTACTGTACTCTGCTAATAACACTTTCCTGGATATTGTCGATAAGGAGAAGCATCTGGGCAATTTGATAGATCATTCGTTGAAGGCGGCACAACAAGTGGGATTGGACGCTATTTTTCACTTTGACTGGAATAGCTTTGATTAGCTTCATCTGTTTCTTCCTCTACACATAATCTCAGAGCTAAAGTCATTTATAGTGGTACCTATGTAGCAGCTTACTCACCTACAAGTTGCTGATTATACTGAACTTTTATAAGTAGAAAAGCATGTAACTTCTCTCCGAGAAAGAGAGTACTGTACTGAACTTAAACTTAGAAAGACACCAATTCATTTTGGGGTAGCTATTGTAGACTATTGTCTGCAACAAACAAATGTTACCTATCCATGGATTTTGGCCACCCCAACCCTGGCCACAATTTAATTAAACATCTGCAGCATTTATGCATCAGTCCAGTCTGTTAGCTAGAAGATGTGATGTGTTGGGTGCAGCTCAGTATACACACCAAAGTGGTAAGCTTCTGCTAATGTAAAAGAATCTGACATTTACACGAGATTTATAGAAACTGGCTGAACACCATAACTTCTGTCCCAAGATTGTTGATGTAAATGAATCATCTACAGTACCTCCTGCCTACCTGCAACAAGTATCTCTCTCCTACATCAAGATGACATGCAACACCCATACATGCCTTCAACTTCTTGCCATTAACTCAAGTTGAAGCATATCCTTTAGAAAGGTTCAGTAGCATATGTGATTAATATTTTGTTAACTTGTCATTCTGTTTCACTACTACACAGTCCAACAATCCATGGAAATTAACCATCTGTAGGAGGCCTGTTCCCAACCTTTGTGAATGGTCGAATCTGCTGTATAATTATCCAAGGAACATACAGTAATGTCTTAAGACTGACTACGGATTTAGCATTGGAATCAAGAAGATAAATGAAATGAATGAAGCATAAACATGGAAAAAGAAGACATCTAGTGAATGCAAACTCCCTGTTCAGTGATGGACATTATGAAGACTACAATTAATGTTTGGATTATCTCCTGGATATGTGATAAGAAGTACAGTACAGCTCTTGATGAAGACTGGAAAAGTGCATTACTGTATATGGGTTGTATGATTACTGTGCTGGAATTTGTTTGAAAATTCAGGCTTGGTAAGTTAGGGTAAAGTATAATGGAGATCAGTACAGTACAGTATATGAAAAAGGAAACCTAAATTTCATTTGATTCGTGAGAAATTATCTGTTAACGTATTCTTTTGTTAGCGCTCTTCCCCACCCTGCTTTAAGAATAGATGACATTGAGATAAAATGTGCATTATGCAAATACATTTATTAGGAGATGTACCGTCAAATAAAAAAATCGCATTAGGGTCTGCTCACACCAAGGCCGGAACTAGACATATTCTGACAAATTGTCCAGAGACAGATGATGTATGACACTGTGGTGGGTACATTATACCCTCGTTAATGCAAAAAAAAAAAGGGTCTCCGAGTTACTCAAATTACTGAAAATTACGAATTAACCGAGTTCAGAATATTTTGACATTATTCAACAATCCCGAATTTTTTTGTTCGATTATTCATTTGTTTTCGGTTCAATTTTTGCGCCTTGCCTTAGCTGTCACATAAAATAATATACTTATAATGTACATACAGTAATAATAAAATAAATTGTACAGTTACAAATAAATGAAACAATGCGAGGAGCTGATGCTGTAAGGGGCGAGGTGACGAGATAATGTATTTGCACAGTACAGTACACATTAACAAAACTATTAAACCTTGTATAATAATGTTTAGATTTCCAATTTCTATTTAAAATTAATTGATACATGATGGCTCGATTTGGCTACTTTTTCACTTGGACAACTGATCAGTGAATGAACCATGGCATATTGAGATACATTTTTCACTACAGTGTTTCATGTTGTGTGAAAAGAGTTTTTTGTCATTTAAAACTAGGCATTCAGAAACAACTAGGCTATAATCCTTTATACCATATCCCACTGTGTGTGGAGGGGCATCCCACCAGGTAGGATGTAACCGTTGGATGAATTTTAAAATGGAAAGTTTAAGGGTCAATTTTGTATCACGCATTGATATCGTATATGACTGCAGTGTATATATATATATATATATATATATATATATATATATATATATATATATATATATATATATATATATATATATATATATATATATATATATATATATATATATATATATATATATAATTTTTTTTTCTTCAGGAAGTATTACTTTACAATTCACTCTCAAGAGTGTTGTTGTGATGTATTGAGTTTTGTGGGTGTGAACTTTGGCTAACCTGATACTAACAAGTAACGTAGTGAAAAAATATTTGTGTTGTGCAAAATATGTGTTGTACTTGAGTGTTTAATAATGTAGCTGTCTCACATTCCAAGACCACCCAAGAGTATTGTTCAAGATACTCGGTTTTGAGCAGATCTCTCGATAGCATGACAGACAAAGCTTACCTGCTGGTGAGTGAAAGTATCTTTAGATATTGAATGGTCTGTGTGACCACATGTTAGGATGCAAAATTTATAGTTCTGCACTGTAGCTTTTATAGTAGTACCTGTAGTAGAAATAGATGATATTAGGGATTTATAGTTTGGTTTTATGTTGTTTTTGTTCTTTTCATGTGTGTTTAAAAACCTCTTGGTAAAATCATTAAAATTACTACTTCTCAATATAAATGAATTATTTTTTGAACACAGTTGTTTATATTTTGAGAGACATTACATTTGTTGAACATCGACATGTACAGGAGAATCCCAACATATATCTTGGAGGTTAACCATTTATAATCTTTGATAATAACTAACCTGTCATTATACAGTACAGTATTCGCTTAATCCATATGTTTTGACTTTCATTACAGTAAGTTAATCCGTTTATGTTTAGTCCAACCTATATATTTTCTTCCCTGTGTCAAGTATCCATTTCCTTTGTGTTTGTTTTAATTACTAGTTCTTTAATTTTCCTTGGAACGAACAAGATTTATCTCTGTCTGTCTGTCCTCATTTTCTAGTCCTGGCTATTTCGCAGAAGCCAATGAAGATTTTTGTAATCAAACATTAGAGGAAAGCAAGACGATTATACACATTAAATGGGTTTAAATTAAAATGACTGACATACCCTAGTAGGGGACACGTATTATTTTGCCAAAAACTTATACTGTACTACACTGAACAATTTTGGCAAATAGTGCATTGAATCAGTTTTAAGCTTCCAATAAATTAACCTGAATGAAAGTTCCATAAGAGTTGACTTGCTTGTTTGATGATTATTTTTTTTTTTATTTAGTTAAAGTTCTTTTTATATTAATGTGAAACAGTTCAATTATATGATGAGAATTTACTGGTTATCTGGGTGTTTGTGGGTCTCTGGCTCTCTATAGACATAGATCTTGTAAATACCACAATTCCTTTAGGTCCAGTATTGTTGAACCTTGGTAGGAGCATTCCTTTTGGTAAAATCTTGGATTGAAATGCTTTTGGATGTTAATTATGACTCTTTCAGTAACCAGAAACAGTGAAAATGTGTATCATAATGAAAAAGTGTGGTGTATTTCATTTTTTTTTTTTAGATTCAGTTAGATGACTACAGAATTTAAAACTTATAGCTTTACCAATCACATCAATAAGAGTTGTACAAATTTTGCAGAAGCTAACAGCCATAGTTCACTTTAAGTATTTGGTATGACCTTAACTTTTGACGTGGTCACACATGCCAAATACTGATGGGAAATCAACAATTCCAGCAACTTTGTCTATCAGAACAGACAACACCCCATCGCCATAGTGACAGTTTACGCTCAGAATAGTCGACGGTTCTCGCCATTTGAAAGTTGTTGACTCGGATGATTCTTGGTCACCTGTATTGATTTTTGAAATTCTGAAGTAAGGGTATCCCTTGTTTAGTGATCGGGATGCGTTCCTGATAAACTAAATGCTAAATGAAATGATCGCTAAACAGGAAATATCCTAAATGAGGGTTAACGAGAAGTAATATTTGTGAAGACGGTACGTTATTGTGCAGCCCAGTCTCGGACCTGCCACGCCGTAGCACTTGAGAGTGGGTGAAGCTGAGATATGTTATTGTTCAACTCGTTATTGTTCAACTCGTAATTTTAGGTAGATATATGTAATTTTTTTCATTTTCTTTTACTCTGTTACATGCATACACAATTGTTCATACAGAATGTAGAAAAAAAAATTATAAGGTCAAAAGCATAAAGGTAATAAACATTTCTCATGTGCTCGACAGTTAGCCCACAGAGCAGTGGAGGGGGGGGGGTGGCGTGGGGATCTCCCAGCTGTCTCGTGTTCCGTGTGGAGTGAAACGATTGCCAATTAGCAAAATGAGGGAAAATATGTAGAATCTGCAATAATAATAAACTACAGGAAAGTAACACTCACCAAGTCCACCCTTGTAAGTCTAGCAGCACTGGCCATGGTTATGTGCTCAGCGACGGCCTTCACTGCAAGTGCTTTCTTAATGATGGTCGACATTGTTGACTGCACTAGGCCAAGCGCTTTCGCAATGAAGTTTGCCCCCTCACCAAGCTCAATGACTTGCGGGAGAGCTTGGACTTTTCTGATGAGGAAGGCAAAACAGTTGCACGCTTATCTGACTTTATCACAAAGTTCACTCACTTTACACAATATCTCAATAGTACAGTATATGTACAGTTCTCGATAACCCATAAAAGTCACAACAATAATAGTAATGCATACAATGCCCAGCGATCAATAATATACGGAAGACAACAATCAAACGACAAGCGGTAAACACCATATTATGCCGATGTTGAACCCTAAAATAATGACAAATTACATACAGTATAGTATTTACACTATTTACAAGACAGCGGGAATTTTAAAATTTTCAAGGAAGTAGATGTATGCCCTAAACCTGGGTGTCCCTTACCTTAGTGGATGTTAATATACACCCTAAACTGTGTAGTACAGTAGTAGTGGTAATATTAAGAGAGGCACACTTGGACCACACAATCCCCATTTTTCCCACTTCCCTCCCGAAATTTTCCCCATGAATCGAAGATTGATAAATTTAAAATTGCAGATTGTTACATAATAAATGATGTAAAAATTTGAAATCGCAAAGTGAATGATCATTAAACGAGGGATACCTGTATCATTTCAGAATATATCCTTCACGAATAATCCTGATTTATGCCTGAAATTTGTCTTGGTTTGAAACATCTTTTCTGTATTACTTGTGTAAATAAATACTGTACAAGCTAAAATTACAAAAATAATGCGAAAATAGAATTTACTAAGAGACCTCATTTGACAACGAAACGACAACATGGGAATATGATCTTCAACTCTACATTCTCCAAGTAAATTTGGATTCTTAGCTATGAATGGCATTACTTGGCATATTAATTCCTAAAACTTGGCCTTGCTCATGCCATGAAAATCATAGAACAATTGGGGATCTCCCAGACCAACTTCTTGCACTATGTTATGGTACACACACACTAGCTGTCTCCTTTTGCTAGCCATGAAGGTAACCGCACCTTGTTTTTCTTGTGTTTAACTTCTTTAATTAAACTGCACATGTTAAGACAGTGATAATGCTGTAGTCATTTAGTACTTGCATGCCTTTGTTTGTTTTGGTTGCTGAAACAGTCGGTAAGCCTGTACAATAGATCTTTTGGGTGTGTGACCACTGGGTCGACAAAATCGCCAATTTATTGCCTGTCAAAACTTTTTCAATGATTTTGATAACGGAACATGCGAGTGTGACTGCGCCTTTAACTTTATTATTCATACCTGACTATTTACCTGTACTGCACACAGTATCAGAAAAAACAAAATAGAGAAGGGCATTTCCCAGTAAGTACTGCACTGTACTAACATTAAAAATTAGAAGTAATTTTTTCCTTCACTAGTTATGACAACCTTATAATAAGGAAATATTAAGTCCATTACAATTCAGGAACAATATTTGTATGGGTAATGTATCCAGTAGGTTGGGAAAATGCTTAAGTTCAGGATTATAAATGTGAATGATGCAATATATGTAAACAAGTTCTGTTTTTGTTTGTTTTCAGATTTTCTGTAACATGACACATTCTTTTAAACCAAAGCAATTTGAAATACACAACCTTGGTTCTTTGTTTTGTCAATGTGGTACAGTAAAAACCTGGTAAAATTGTGCTGGTGAGAATTGCTATTCATATGTTTGTGACTTGCTATAATGTGACCAAAATGCCAAGATTGAGATCCTTAGTTTGTATTATTGGAGCAAAACGTCTGTCATGTAATTATGTACAGAATTAGGTTAAAATGTGAAAAACAAAAGAAATGGTTAAATAGAAAATCCTTAAGTAGAAATACAGGGACAATAATTCTCTGCTATATCACGGCAAACTAATTGAGGAATGTAACTTATGGTGGGGGGGTTGACTTGTTAGTATCATGTCCGCCTTTGATAGTGATTTAAATTTCCCTTAAGTTATATGTTTAATTATAGCAGGGATTTCATGACTTTTAAATTTAGTCCTGCTTTTCCACAGGATTAAGTTCCACTAGTAATGCAGTTGGTTACGTTACAGTAACCATTGGGACGTATTACCATGATAAAGCAGAGGCTTACTAAGTTTTCGTATTAAGATAACAAAAAGTGCTTAAATTATAATATATTGGCTTTACGACTGTTCTGTATGATGACAGCATGTACAATTACCTGTGTTTGTCTTTGACTTCACCATAAATTATTGTTACTGTAAATAATGGTTTGTTTATTGATGTTTTATAATACTGTACAAATTTAAAGTTGTAATTATAATTTTTTTTTAACACATTTAAAGGTTTAATTACATGTTTTAAAGTTTTAATTATAAAATTACAACAATATGCTCTGACTGAAACATGAATTAATAACCATCCAAGCCATAGCCAAACTTTACACTCGGTGAGAGAGAACCACACTGTCCAGTGTAAACCCTGCTAACATTACTGTGACACCTGCCCTAGACAAAATTATCAAGAGCAATGGAGGAATCCTACACAAGTCACTGGCCTCCTTCCCTCAGCATGGCCAACTCTAGTGGGTGGCCATTATGTACATAAGGTAGGTAATAATAGATTTGTGACTTTCTTGATACTGTATATTGGAATTATGGTGACATCATGATGGAAGGAAGAAAGTTTTGATGATGGAGTTCAATACTGTATATAGTTTTAGACTTATTGAAAACTGGGGAACCTACTTGCCAAAATGTTTCGTGTCAATAAATACAGTTCATAAATTCTTCCTCTTTCTCCTCCTTTCTTTTTAGTATTTAATGTTTTGCATGCATTGTGTTTTAGTAAAATTGTCCAATACTGATTTATGAGAAGATTATTTGAAGTTTGTATGTTAGTTTTTGTATTTATTGTGACATAACCCCATAACTTTAATAATTTCTAACTGTAAATTCAAGATGTCACATACAGGGTATTGAACATAATGTTACAATTTTACCAGGTTTTAATGTACAGTATGAGAAACTTCAAGAGAGATTCATTATATTGCCTGGCATATGCGTTGGTCCAAAACTGAATACACTGGCATGACCAAACTGATCATCAGAAGTACAGATAAGCTCAACCATTACACTGACAGTCAGATGGGTTGACTAATTTAAAAACTGAACAAATACATGTGAAGTACCTGTACTGTATACTGTACTTGCTTAATTGTTAAAGCAGAATATCATTATAATGTCATTAGCATCCTCTGTTTAAATTTTTATTGCAAATCAATGATTATTGTATTGTGTAATAAGGCCACAGTATTTGTTATAGATACAGGTAGCCCATTACAGTATTAATAAATTTATGAAAATACAAAGAAAAAAATCCTCTGCATTAATTTATGAATGAAAACTGCGGAGCTTCAACATTTTTTCTTGCGGTCTTTGTAACATCACAAGATGCTGAGGTGCTGACAGACATTTGGGAGCATTCTGTGCTAAACAAAGACAGTAAACAGTGTTGTCTAGACCCATGATGTGTGTACCTTTATTTCTGAAGAGCATTTTTACACTTTACCTTAGAGACCTCTTGATTAAGTGTATTTGTTTCATGTCATATTTAGAATATCCTTGTAATGTGTGTGTGATCCATTTGCATTATTGGGGTGTCAGTGCAGTGGTGTGGCATTGCTAGCACTGTATGAGAAGCACACATGATGTGGGTATGCAGCTTTGCATGGATGCAGTCTATAGTCATGGATTGCTACAGTATCTTGTACTGCAGTACAGTCTCTCCTCCACTTACGACGGGGTTCCGTTCCGAGGACCAGGTCGTAAGTTGAACCGACAAAAATAATACATAGTACAGTGACCCTCGTTTAACGAACACCTCGGTTAACGTAATTTCGATTAACGAACTGCCTTCCATAAGGATCTTCAATTCGGTTAACGAAAAAAAATTCGCTTAACGAACTTCTTACGAACCGACCTCAACATGTTTTCGCTTGCACTGACCGGGCAACCAGCTTTAGTATCAGTCCGCCAATACATTAATCGGTTCTAGGGCTTAAATTCCTTACTATTTTTGTAAATATCAAGAAGTTTATACTATTCAATAATTTTAAAAGTTTAATATTCAATTTTTTAGTCATTTTAACAATTATTGAACAAAATTGAAGGTAAAGTGACTAGTTTAATGCGCGGCATCCAGCCTCTTAACACAGCAAACAGGCGTCAGTCTCTCTCTGTTTTCACTGGAGGTAACATCTTGCTTGAGACTCTCTTCAACTAAACGCTTTTTTTCTGTGTTTCCAAGCAAATTATTGGTCATTTTGAAATATATTTTATATATTGACAATATATAATGCAGTGCAGCGTTGATTTAAAGAAAATAATCTTGAATTAAACCAGAGAGCTAAAATTTTATGGGTGAAATGGCACCATGGGGTGACTTCTCTTCCACCCCAATGCCTTCTCTTCTTCCTTCTCCTCCACCCCCATTCTAAATCCCATCATCATCATCATCATCCAGGAGCCTTCTACATACACACCTCAAAGTAAGTGAACTTTTCTACCATTTTTGTTGAATTTAGGAAATTTTCGGTGAGCTGGAACCAATTACCCAAAAACCCATTGAAACAATGGTTTCGGTTAACGAACGTTTCGGTTAACGAACGACCTTCTGGAACGGCATTGAGTTAGTTAACCGAGGACCCTGTACAGGTAATAATTGTAAAACTTTTACCATTTTAATACACATACTGAGCGGGATACGATGTGAAGGCTGTACACTCGTGGCAGTGTGCCAGCCGAAATTGTCGTAAGGCGTCGTTAGACATTACAACCCAAAGTCTAGACTCGAAAATAATGTAAAATATTTTAATATAATGACTGACCGCCGTAAGTCACAAATGTCATAAGTCGGGGAGAGACTATATACCCCCTGTATTGCACATATTTTTCCCCTTGCATCATGCCACCAAAGCACCCTTTTAAGTTCTCCTGGTATCAGCAGAGCTAAGAAGCATAAGGCCATCACCACTGAGATTAAGATGCATGTGCTCAAACATCATGAGAGAGCTGAACGAACAACTGATATTAAGCATTCCCTTGGACTTAGTGTATCTATTTTATGGACTACAGTAAGTGATAGTACAGAGAAGAGTGTAACATTAATCAGTGCATCTAAGATTATAAATTCCTGAAGTTTGATTATAGAGAATGAAATTAACGTTGAGCACGTGAATCGAACACCAAATTCACGCAAATTTTCTCATCAGCATGCTTGTGATAAGCAGAGGCCCGGAGTATTTATATTTCCTGGTACGTGTATATTGTATAGTTTTTCACGGGTATAATAATGGGTATACTTTCTTCTTAATAACAAAACCCTTTAATCTCTACTATTTACATTGTTTGATTTACAGTACATGATTTTTATTTACACGACCATTTTCAAGAACATAATTATTGCGTAAATTGAGAGGTGTCAAAGTGACACCCGGATAAGAGACAGCATTTGATGACCGAGCTCTACCTGTACTTCATTTATAGTAAAAAGAAACCTGAAATTGATGAATATTCTGAACCAGATTCAGGTGATTCTACTTTGCTTTTATTTCAGTACGGTATACGGAACATACTTCATCTTCCCATTAACTCTATATCCATCACACCATCAACTTAAGCACTGATTATTAGTTTCTTGCAAGAAGAATACCGTACAGTACATTTTGATTTGGATTAATCTCATTAATCATGTATCTACTTTACAATTATTATTATTTCTTTTTAGAGCTGCTTAAAATATGTTGAATGTCATATTAATACCATTTGTGTCTTCAATGTCTAATATAAAGGATTTCATCTCCCAATTTATGATAGCAGTCATTCTGGAACTGTGAGCTGGACCATGAGCCCCAGCAGATCAACACTAGCATATTGTATTTGGTTGGTTGGATGTGTTGAAGCTTCAGAAGGATAGATTGAGCATTTACAGAGCTTTGTCAGGCTTTGTGCAGTGTCGCAGCCATATGTTTGTTTACATTTGACAAAAGGAAACTCGCAATACTATTGAATCAAAGTTAAACAATATTAAAACAAATATCTCAATGTAATGATTTGTGAAATGTTTCTAAGATGAGCTACTGTAAACTTACAGTGACCCCTCGTTTAACGAACGCCTCAGTTAACGAAATTTCGGTTAACAAACTGCCTTCCATATGGATCTTCAATTCGGTTAACGAACAAAAATTCGGTTAACGAATTTCTTGCGAACCGACCTCAACATGTTTTTGCTTTCACTGACCGGGCAACCAGCTTTAGTATCAGTCCGCCAATACATTAATCAGTTCTAGGGCTTAAATTCCTTACTATTTTAGTAAATATCAAGAAGTTTATACTATTCAATAATTTTAAAAGTTTAATATTGAATTTTTTAGTCATTTTAACAATTATTGAACATAATTGAAGGTAAAGTGACTAGTTTAATGCGCGGCATCCAGCCTCTTAACACAGCAAACAGGCGTTAGTCTCTCTGTTTTCACTGGAGGTAACATCTTGCTTGAGACTCGCTTCAACTAAACGCTTTTTTTTCTGTGTTTCCAAGCTAATTATTGGTCATTTTGAAATATATTTTACATATTGACAATATATAATGCAGTGCAGTGTTGATTTAAAGAAAATAATCTTGAATTACACCAAGAGAACTAAAATTTTATGGGTGAAATGGTGCCATGGGGTGACTTCTCTTCCACCCCAATGCCTTCTCTTCTTCCTTCTCCTCCACCCCCATTCTAATTCCCATCATCATCATCCAGGAGCCTTCATACACCTCAAAGTAAGTGAACTTTTCTACCATTTTTGTTGAATTTAGGAAATTTTCGGTGAGCTGGAACCAATTACCCAAAAACCCATTGAAACAATGGTTTCGGTTAACGAACTTTTCGGTTAACGAACGACCTTCTGGAACGGATTGAGTTCGTTAACCGAGGGGTCACTGTACTAGGGAAGGGGACTGTACAGTGCATAGTAAATAAGTATGGATGATACACCTGTTGCCAAGAAACGGCATTGGCTGCTGATACTGCAACAAGAAGTGGACATTATCAAGCAAGCAGAGAAGAGAGAGACTTCAACACAGATTGGCTGTTTCTTAGGATTTAACTGGTTGATGACTCAAACAATTTTCAGACAAAGTTACAGTGTTCACCAAGTGTTTAATGTGGACAAAACAAGTTTTCTATAAGAAAATGCCAGAAAAGACCTTCATTACCTGGGAGGAAAAGTTAATGCCTGGATTCAAAGTAGCAAGAGACTGACTAACCCCCTTGCTGGGAGGGAATGCTCCAACAAACACCATGCTCAGTGAGCATAGCAACAAGAGGGTCCAAGGTAAAGTAATTATGATAGTCACAGTTGTGTACAGTATATACTTTTATTGTCGGGGAAATCTTAGTAAAATTGGGGTTTTGTGAGGCAGTTCGGAACCTACAGGGTAATAATTACATTGTTCTGATCAACCGCTTTAATGGGATTTCTTTTTAGTCCCTATCCTGTTTGTTAACCGGGGTGTTCCTGTACTCATGGTAGGCCTATGGGAAGAAGTAACCAACAATATTTGATGTCCGAATAATTTGAGGTTGATATTAATGACCTGTTTAGTGATAGGGATCATTATGATAAAAACAAGTCATCACTCAAAAAAATTATCATCACAAAACCGAGTTACATATAGTAATATGTGTTGTTACATCTGTTATTACAGTAATGGACACTGGCTGTCATCAATGTAGCTTGGTGCTGGATTTTCAGTTGATCTCACAAAATATGGCTGTCAGCATTTTTGTATCAACAGGCTTTATGCAGTTTCAGACCTCTGTACTCATATACAGTATTTTAATCTTTTAAGAGAAATTAATGTTTAATTCATGTTTGTAGATCAAGAAAATAAGCAGTCTGTGTCTCGATGAATATTTGCTCTTTTTTAGATGATTTCACTTTAATACAATAAGACAACTTGGTAAATGACTATTTATGAACTGTTTGCAGTTATTGTGTCCATTTTCTAGAAAATGTAGCTCATCAACACAACAAAAGCACATTACAGTACCCTCTATAAACTGAATAGTGTGTGTGCTTATTCCATAATAGCTTACTGTATTTTGTTCAGTGCAAATCAAAAGAGGTGTAATGCACTGTAGATTAAGAATCTGAGGAACACATTTGAGTTCTCAACTTCTTGACACTAGTTTTTTAATATAAAATATTGTTACCCCCACAACACATGGCCTGACCTATCCTGTTATTTTAGATTTATTTTGCCAAGTAAATCCTAGCCACACTTTCCACAGAGCAGCATGCACTAAGTGATGTGACGTCACATGCTTTTCGGGTTTGTTACCCCCTAGATCACTGGAGGGAAAAGTTTTGTGTCTACTACTGTATACCTTTTGGGTATTAGTTGCAGCATTAGAGGAAGGCAGACTAATAATATAAGATTAGTCCCAGTCACTAATGCCAAATCTCCCAGATCTAAACCAATAGCCAAGTGAGCATTGCTCAAGCAACCCAATTTTGTGCCTCAGCCACAAAATGGAATTTTAGGATAAATCTTTTAACTATTAAATGAAAAGTACTGAAACATACAGTATCATCCTTATCTTTACAATAGAGTAATGACCATGGATGTATTATGAATATTATACCTGAATGAGTTATCCATTTACTGTATTATGGCACCCTAATTTGTGAGTGTAAAGGTAAATAAGGAATGTTAATAAATACTTCACACTTTCAAATGCTGAAAATGATTTTCCTTGTTATGTCTCTCAGTAACTACATTTTAAACAATGAACATTATAATGCAAGAGTAAGTAAAATATATATGGCAGGTAGAGAACAAAACATTTGTACAGAGATTCTAACCCTTTCTCTCGCTAAAAAGTTTCTCAGTTTCCTTATACAGAAATAAAAGCTGTGTAGAATAAAATATGTTTAAATGTTTATTTTAATTGTTTGTTTACATATTCAGGACAGGAAAAAATTGTAAAAGTTTAAATTCAGAATAACCTTTATTGTGTAGGATATTCAGCATCAATTTTGAAATGTAAAATTATAGTGGATGTAATAAGAGCAAAGTAAAGTAATGTAAAGGAAAAATCTAAAGAGCAAATAACAGTGGAATCTAAAACCATACCTTTTGAAGATAACTTTTGCTTTCTCACAATTGTCTCTCCAACTCTGAGAAAAATAATAATGAACTCATCTCCTGCTGAATGACATTAAAAGCCTCAAGCAAGCCATTACTCCTGGCATCACGTATGAAGAATTGGAACTCTAACAACAAGAACCTGCAAAGAGAAAATGTAGCTACTCAAAAATGGCTTTTTAAGTGTTATAGCAGCAGACTTTTGAGGTAAGTGAATTGTTTGAAATAGTAAAATTGTGCTCAAGTAATATATATACAGAAACAGAAAATCTCATAATTACCCTTGTAGATGTAACAAAGTGAGCTTCAGCATTATTACTGTCAAGGGATAGTGGAACAAACACATCCAGGAGGTTCTTGGGACTCTCGACAACCAAGCGATCTCCACCAACATCTACGACAACCTCATGACCTGTCACCTGTTATTTACAAAGTTTTATGCTTGTCAGTGATCAAATATCATACAAGTAGCTATCATTAAAATATAAACAGCATTATACAACAAAATATACCCATTTCTCACAACACATATAAAAGTTGAGCGAACAAAAATTAATCAAGTTTACACATTGTTTGAATATCTTGTAGCATTTCACTTTACTCACATAGGTAAGTTAGTAAGCTCACCATCTGTATTTATTTTAATGGACAAATTATGAAGCTTGCCTATGTCAAGATGCAATAAAAAGAAAAGTGTTGAATCTTCACTGTAAACTTACTAACCATACTGGGTAAATTAATTTCAGCTATTAAGTTTTCTACACCATTTTTATCAGGAATTTTTTTCATCAAGAATTTGGGTTTCTTTTTTTCTATTTTCACAGGGCTTGAAGTTAAGGTTTTTGTGGATAATTCAGTTATTAGTGGCTGACTGGGGGGAGCAGTGCCTGATGAAGTTCCTGGTATGTCCTCTGGATTCCAGTGTCTCGCTTTACTTAGTTCTTGCACCAGAGGAATATTTGTACGAACAGTCTGCTCTGGAATGCTTCCATGGTATTTTTTGTTTTTCATTACAATCCATCCTGTAGATTAATAGTAACTATATTATTTACATTAACAGTTGCTGTATTTCAATAGTAAAGTATATGTATTCATACTGGTACCTGGTAAAGTTTATCACTTTCAGATCATCCGACCAAGACAAAAACAGGAGTAAGACTTTCACGTCAATCTACTTACAGTACATTACTGTACTCATTATACCGTACTTATATATACAGTCGTGTCTAGAACTTAAAATTTTTCCAAGCAACTATTATCATTTAATAGATATGACAAAGTATCAGATTGGCAATTGTCACAAAGTTTCATTTATGATATGAATCAGAAGATCAAAGTTCAAGGGACTAACCCTGAGGTGGCTTAGCACAGAAAATCATCAGGATCATATCAAGGTGCACTATAGCACTAAATTTATGAAAAATATGTTACCAATAGCTATATTCCAACCTCCAGCTCCACTTTATTCTAATATGTCTGATATTGCTTTGAGTCTTTCCAAATTTCCTAGGACTGCCAAATGTTTCCTCACTACTGTACTCTGTTCAAACTTGCCATTTACTCAATGACCAGTGGGCTCATGTAAGTGAGTATATTACTATTAAAACAAAAACACACATAGGCTGCTATTTATTACTTGTGTTTTATACCTTGCATTATTTGATTTGAGTCTTTTAGGCCTATATTTTAACTCGGCAACATATGACCTAAGCTGTCGCGTCGCCAGGGATGTAATTACCACAATCAATCAATTTCCCCTTCACTTGTGAATGCTTCAGATTCACGAGTCGATACTCTCAGGGTTCACACCCCACGGGTTGACAATGCTGAATGTAACAGTTGGAAAAGCCCCCAACTGTACCTGGATTAGCTACAACAATTAAAATCTTGACCTCTAACCTCAGATACAGACAGACAATAGTATATAATCTTGAGTATGGTAGGACTCTCTTGCTATAGTATTCTAAACACCATAAAATTACAGAGTACAGTACATTTACCTACATACAATGAATAATGTATCATAATCTTTGCTTACCATTTTTGTCTACTTTGAGTGAGTACTTTTCCTCTAACCCCTCTAAAGTAGCAATCATGAAGAAATTATGGAAGAGTGGATTGTCAGTCATCTTGAGGAAAAACTGGGGGCTAATAATGACATCATATGCAACACACGATTCACCCGCTGAAATAATCAGAAAATTAAATTCTCTATCAGATTCTGCAGCCTTCAATAAACATCTAACAAATCCTAAATATTATTCACACCACCAATTCCATTATGTGTATGGAGGCACAAACTGTATTGTACTTTGGGCACCAACGGCCCTTTTGTATGATTCATATCACTTAGAAGTTTTACATTTACTTCACTACCCACTCTTCCTCAATATCACATCATCTTACATTTGTCCTTTTCATAGTGGGGCTGGCCGATGGACATGGGCACACGAAAATCTGATGGGGCCTCTGATTCCAGGATGGTTATCAACTCTTGGTCAGTAATGTCCTCAGGAGCTGGGATGGCATCAGAGGTGCAAACATTGATGAACACTTTATTCTTCTGGTCATCTCTGGTCTTCACACAGATGCCTGCAACAAAGTCATATTCTTAAATTTTTCACATTATCAGTAGTGGGTGGGTCCAGAGACTGTATAACTGTGAAATAATAAGCCAAAGGATTCCAAAGCCCAATCAACAGTGGATTTGTCTTGCTAGAATATAGTTGAAATGACCTCCAATAAAAACTATGTACATGCAGTGTAGGTCATTAAATAAAGGTAAGAACTACTGTACTGAAAATAAAGTTAAGAAAGAGTAACCTTAAAGGATTCCACACCACCAATAAAACCCCAAGTGGTCCATTATCAAGATCAAATTCAATGCACTGTACTCATCTTACAAAATAAAATAAAAGTCGCCCTTAAAGGAGTTCAAAGGTGTAGTGCACTGATCAAGATAGCAACTCATAAACAAGTCAGCCGATATCAAGGCCCCACCCTGAAAGAAAGATTCCAAAGACATTCAATGCAAGAATGCCAAAGAAGACAATGACGCCATGGAACTACTCCAGACATCTAAAGTGAGTTTCATAGCATTTACTGTAGGGTATTATTGCAGTGTATGTCTATAGTGGGTACTCCTGAATATTATTTACATTATACACAGTGATACTATTAAAATTTTATTAGCGATTTAGTATTTTTAGGTTAGGTTAAGTTAGTCAAGGCAGCACAATTTCAATTAAGGTCACTCAAAATGCATGTCAGGTCAGGTCAGCATAAGAAAGTGGGAGAAACACCAGGGAAAGAGGTGTATGAAAGGAATGACAGAAGGACCCCACAGAGCCAGAGAAAGGGAGAAGAGTGGGAGGAAGATATACGTACAGTTTGAATACTAAAGGGAAGACATGGAGGGGTAGGGAAAGGAGAAGAAAAAGGAGGTTAAGGGAGGAAGCAAACAGGGGGATGAGATAAAAATTATTAAGTTTAGAGTCGGGGAGGAAGAAAAGGATTAGGTAAAAGAATAGGGTAAAGGTCAATGTGAGGGAAGGAATGAGATAAGGTGGTGATGTGGGGGAGGCCAGTAATGAGTGGTGATCCAGGCACTGTCCCTAACACACATAAGTTCATTCTCTCACACACAAATTTTGAGGTTCACCTAACCGACTCCAAGTGTGAGCTCATTCAAGACCAAACTTGATCAACACTTGCGTAGGTTCAAGTACATTCTGGAGCCAGTATTTGCCAACAGTGCTTAACAGATGTGACCAACAGCCTTAAGCAGCTAAAAAAATGATCGGTGGCAAAGAGGATAAATTAAAGTACAATACTGTATAAAGTATACACACCACCCAACATTAATAGTGCGGCATGGCATGTGAACATGAGCCAACATCAACAGTGTCAGCCAATCTGACGTTCATTCAACAATGTAAACATCCTTCCAGAGCCCCGTACCTACTACCCAAAATATACGTGACTAATAGTCCAATAACTGCCAATAAAAAGTAGACTTTTCACATCAAATGCGAACACCTGCTAAGGCACCAAATCAAAGATGAACGCCATTACTTTCAGTGAAATAAAGAAAATTTGGGCACAATCGCCTCTTATCACGGAATTTCTTAATCCATGTGCATAATAGTTTATTTAAATGTTATGCCAAAATTAAATGAAATACCAAACTGGAGGAGTCAGGGTAGAAAGTAACCGTAAAGTGGTCAAGACGAATGTAAAACGTGAGAGGAAAGAGCAAAAACAATACAATAGAATAATTCCTGTGTAAATAATTTTTAACAAAATTATTTGCACTAATCTAAGAAACACCGTACTGGATGTGACTTCAATTCTTAATTCAGAAAGTTTATATAGAGGTATTATGTGTTTAGGAATATTGGACCTACTGGAGTACAGCTACCTTCCAGAACACACTTATATAAGCAATCTAAGTACTGTACTGTATACAACTGAAGTCAGTGTTACGAAATACGATATCAGGAAAAAAGGAGTGCCAGTGTACTATCGAAAACAGGTGACGTCACTAAAAGTGGTGCGCTGGTGCCACATAGACTATCGATTGCAAAGATAACACCTAATTTAACAAAACAGATCAAATACGTTAATTATAATAATTTCACATAAACAAATAAGATCCAGTTACCAAACGTGAAACGTAGTTCAACAATAATTACATTAGGTTCTTCCTGAACTCGATATTTGGCAGTCATACATACTCTTAGTCGATAAATCCTGACCAACTAACAATCACAATTAATTAATGAATACGGAGTAAACTAAAGGAACGAAAGAGCGTCATACAAATTCAATGAACAATATAAAAATCATTATCCTGGGATGACAACAATAGCCTTGACCGGACACAGTTGGTGGCGGATCACAACCTCGATTACAGTACCACCTTATCATCACAACATTGCCAGTCCCACCAAGGTCGTTTTCATCATCTTCGTCTGTCTTTGGTTACAGAGTGAAGAAGATTGATGAACTGATGCTCTCCCTACATCGTAACACACAGTGAAAATTGTAAGTTAAGTTGAAATAAGAGAGAGAGAGAGAGAGAGAGAGAGAGAGAGAGAGAATCATGCATGAGGAAAGGGGGGAAAGGAAATCGAAAAGATGAAGAACAAAAGAAGAGTGTGAAGGGGAAGGGGAGAGAGAAAGAGAGGGGGAAGGAGGAAGAGATGGGGGAAGGGGGGAAGAGATGGGGGAAGGGTGGAAGAAAGGGGATGGAAGAAGAGATGGGAGGGGGGAAGAGAAGGGAGGAAGAGTGGATGGGAGAGAATAATGTACAGCAAAATCGCCGCGTCATCCCACCTTGCACACACACACACACACAATGTCAAGCTGGGGTCCATGTTTGCCCACTTTCACCTCTCCCCAGTTACCGAAGGCTATGGAGAGAGAGAGAGAGAGAGAGAGAGAGAGAGAGAGAGAGAGAGAGAGAGAGAGAGTACATCAATCGTTCAGCCTATATATCATGTGAGAGGCGTGGTAAATGCACAAAACGCAAGACCTTGTGTTCGTCACGCCTGAGGAGAACTAATCAGGGTGAAAATTACAGGGTGCGTCATAGCTGCCAATCAGGAACAAGACGATGCTTTCTTAATCAGTGAGTGAGTTGAGTATACAGAGATGTTAACCTAGCTTATGAACCTATTGGAGTAAAAAAAAATAGTTTTCTCTGCGTTATCTATGAAAATTTCTATGTAAAGGCGGTATGGAGTTTAGCGCCGTCATATATACATACATACTGTAAATGTACTGTACCTTATCAGACTGAGTCAAACACTATATCTCTCTAGGGACACATTGGTGGAGCCCAGTGTCATTATGTGGTCATATACAGTTAAGGTTTGGTAACATTCTCTACCGTAACACATTAATACTATATGGGGCGGCTCCTCCCTCCAGTGGTCCCCGTTACGTGCCGCTGTGGCCCGCCAGGTAGAGTTACATACACACCGCGTTACACAACACCACGCTCTGGCCTCACAGTAATCTATGAAAAAATTACTCAACTACAAAACCTTATGTAAATACACCGAAAAAAAAATTTATAGTATATAATAAATGACAGCCACTGCATTATAGTTCAGATATACTAATTTTGTTATACACTTTCCTTGTACGATAGCGTAGATAGGCCCAAGTACCAACACCCGTCCCAACTGTACCTCCCACATGCTGCATGTCGCTCACTCCAAAGATCCCTGTCTGTCACTTTGCCTCTCATGGATCGTTTACTAACGAATGAAATCAGACGGGTGTGTCCTCTGGCTCACGTTTAGAGGTTGAGGGAGTGGAGGACGAGGTGCGGGAATGGTGGGATACAGCGGGACACAACAGGTGACACCTCTTACTTTCCCTCTCAAGAGTAACAGGTGTGACGGTGAGGGTAAGCGAGGCGAGGCAACACGTTTCCTGCTCCTCGTTGTTCCTCACACACCTATCCCCCCCCCCACACACACAATAATATGAAATATATACTGAAAACATGACTTATACATTCAGACCCATGACACTCACCCACCAAGCCATCCTCAGCACAGCCTAAAATAAACCATATAAAAAAAAATGATCAACATCTCATCAAGAACTGCACACTTGCCGATCACTGGTAACTATACGGGAGGCAGCATGCCCTGACCCGACCCCTTTATATATTTACCCATTAGGTCTATCTTATCACAATATGACAACACGCTATCTAATTATAGCCTCTACTCGACATGCTGGGGGGACAATATCTCGAAATAATGAGGTCATATCGTGTTCTGCCAAGCCATGTGGGATACAAATCTGAAGCGATTCGGTTAGTTTAGTTTAGGTTAGGTCATCATTAGCTGGCAGTAGACATTCTGGGAATGTGACATTTTCATAGGAGACAAAGAGGACGCGCGCACGCACACACACACGTGCAACCCAAGTCACCTGCGAAGTAAGACCCCTTAACCAATCTACTATGAATGTATATATTCGTGTTTTTCTTGTGGAGGTCAATGAAATGTTTAATTTTAGAAGCGACTTTTGAGTCGTAATTCCTGTCACGTGTTGTGTAATGCATCTGAGATCTAATAGTGTGTATGTTCCCTGTTTTCAACATTACCATCATTTATTATTATTATAATTATTATTATTATTGACGTTGTTGTATTATTACTATTATTGTTGTCTTATTATTACTGTTACTTTTACTTTTATCCTCTTCGCCACTTATCGGCTCGTTCGCCGCCCGGGCGATCGGTCACGTCTCTGTTACGCACTGTTGGCAAATACTGGGCATGCACCTGCTCCTGAATGTACCTGAACCCGCTCCAGTGTTGGTCAAGTCTTGTCTTGAAAGAGCTCACACTCGGTGCTGTCACAACACTCTCTGGTAGATTGTTCCAAGAGTTTACAACCCTCACTCCGAAAAAGTTGGCCCTCACGGTTTTCTGGACTTGCGGCTTCTTCAATCTTGAGCTGTGACCCCTTGTGGGGCGAGCGTCCGCCAGCTCCAAGTAAGGAAATCGACTGAATTGTGCCCCTTGAGATGCTTATACACCTCAACAAGGTTCCCCCTTGCCCGT